ATGTTACTATGCATTTATACATTCTGACAGTGATGAAGAGAGTGCCACACTGGCCACAGAGCTGACAAAATGCCTAGATCAGAAGCGGAGGGAATGCTGGGAAGAGACAGTCCAAGGCATCGATTTCACCCATTCTAGCAGGCTGGCTTGGATGACCCTTAACCGTCTCACTGGCCGCAGCTCCCGTCCGAAGCATTGCCCTGTCACAGCAAACTCCATCGCACATCAGCTTCTAGCTAATGGCAACTTTGAGAATGCAGACAAAGACCACGCCCGGATTGTCAAACAGGAAACTTCAAGACTCTGGAATGCTCCAGGCGTAGATGGCTTCCTTTCCAAACCCTTCACATCTGCTGAGCTCGCACTGGTTGTCTCCCAACTGAAATGTGGGAAAGCCCAGGGCCCGGATAACATCTTCCCAGAATTTCTAAAGCACTGTGGTCCCAAGAGCCTGGACTGGCTCCGTGAGTTTTACTCGACCTGCCTCACTGGATTGCACATCCCGAAGATCTGGAGGAAATCTACTGTTATAGCCCTCCTGAAACCCAACAAGCCAGCAGATAATCCCAAGAGCTACAGACCGATCTCACTCCTGTGCGTGCCATTCAAGCTTCTCGAAAGGCTCCTTCTGGCCCGACTCAACCCAGTGGTTGATCCCCAACTTCCGGATGAGCAAGCAGGCTTCCGTCATGGTCGGTGTACCACCCATCAGATTGTCAAGCTTACCAATGATATCGAGGAGAGTTTTGAAAAATGCAACAAGGCAGGCGCTGTTCTAGTGGATCTCACTGCAGCTTATGACACAGTGTGGCATCATGGCTTGACACTAAAGCTTCTCCGCACCATTCCAGACCGCCACCTAGTGCGGTTCCTCGCAACAATTCTTGCGAACCGCAGCTTTGTAGCCAAGACCAGCGATGGACAAAGTAGCCGACCACGTCGCCTACGGAATGGGGTGCCCCAGGGATCAGTTCTGTCTCCCATGCTCTTCAATATCTACATCAGCGACCTACCTTGCACAGCTTCACGGCAGTATGGCTATGCAGACGACCTGGCATTGCTGTATACTGATAGGAACTGGAACAAAGTAGAGAATGCGCTTACGGCTGACATGGAGCTACTTACAGACTACCTCAAGAAGTGGAGACTCAAGCTGAGCGTTGCCAAGACTACTGCAACTGCCTTTCATCTCAACACCAAGGAAGCCAATCGACAGATGACTGTTCTTCATAACGGGACTCCCCTACCGAACAACCCCCACCCAACTTACCTTGGAGTGATACTGGACAGACAGCTGACATACAGACAGCACCTTGAAGCCCTACGAGCAAAAGTGTCGGCAAGGAACAACTTGTTGCGTCGCCTGGCTGGTACATCATGGGGTGCATCAACATCCACCCTTCGCACAGGAGCTCTAGCCCTGGTTTACAGCTCTGCTGAATATGCTGCGCAAGCGTGGTGCAGGAGTACCCACACCAGAAAGCTGGACTGTGTACTAAATGACACCATGCGGCTCATCACTGGATGTCTCCGTCCTACACCCACAGATCTCCTCCCAGTCCTCGCTGGAATCGCACCACCAAGGCTACGCCGCGAGAATCTGACAGACAAGCTCACAACCAAATCCCTTGCCGATGATGACCACCTTCTTCACAAAATTACGACAGAATCCCAGGACCTAGGTGGCCAACGCCTCCGATCACGTCGACCTTTCTCCCGACATGCAGCCGCCCTCAGCAGATCCGACTTTAGCCTAATACAAGAGTGGGAAAAGGGCTGGGAAGGGACGGTTCGCCCAAGGCAGTTCACTGTTCCCCCTGGCACCAAAGCTCCTGCTGGCTCGGAACTACCCCGGAGGAAGTGGGTTACACTGAACCGGCTGCGAACTGGGGTTGGGAGATTCAATGCCAACATGCACCGCTGGAAACTCCGGGATTCACCGGCATGCACCTGTGGTGCAGATGAGCAGACGGCAGATCATATATTATACCACTGCCCCGACCTCCAACCTCCTGACGGGATGACTGATCTGTCGTGCCCAAAAGACGCACAAATCAACTGGCTTACGCAGCTCCAAGAAATAGCCTGATGTACAGTACTACTAACTCACACGAAAGAAGAAGAAGAAGCATGTTCCCATTATTTACAAATAACTTACCCAGCATAAAACCTCAGAAACTGCTTCACACAAACATATTTTTGTTTTTATAAAAACAATTTCTATTAATTTAATTTAAATATGTACATTACAAAAAAAGTTAATCAAACATTCAAACTGTCTTTTGTTTGGCTGGCATTCATTTAATCATCACACCTCGTACATTAATTTATGTACAAAATCCTCCTCTTCTTTCAATGGATGATGTTCCAAAGCATCAGGAATGCAATAGTTGCTAAAGTCTCAATCCCAGCTGGTCAATTTAGAACTGGGAAAGAAGCACCGTAAGTGTAGTCGGGTTATAACAGTGGACCATACTAAACCCTTTCTAACACAGGAATAAATGGGGGATTGTAACATTTTGTCAACTTTTTCTGATCACTTGACATTGCAGCTATAATAAAACAAATACAACACGGTTTATTTTGGGAAGAATGAAGAAATGCAGAAGTTACTGGTCCCTCTTTGCTGGCTGTTTTTGACTACTGCCCTCCACTTTGCATCAGAAGATATAGGCAATCAGCCTTGGGGTTGGTCGGTATCACATGAGGGGAATAAAGGATTATAATGCTCATTGGCAAGGTATACACCCCTAGAGTGGTAACAAGTATTTCCGTGATCATTTTGAAGAAAAAAAGGGCGATAACACCAAAAAAGCTACCACCGCTGCAATGCTATCACATAAAATTATTTTCCAAGACTAGGGGTATCGCTTTGAGCATTATTTCCCTCATTTGATACCAGTGGCCAACATTTCGGACCGAGGCTGATGGCCTAATAGCCAAATCAGTCAAAACCTCAAACTATGTGCCATTTGTACAATTTCCCTTAAACTGTGTAACATTTGTATAATACTCATCCTACATGGACATTATTATATAACTGACATACAGATCCTAGTCATTTGATTGGTGGAACTCACATCACATGACGTTCGTTATTGCTCCCATTCACGCCGCGGCTCAAAAAGTACTATCCGCCCATGGGGAATGGGAAATACTATTCAACAGTTAGGATCATGACGCGGTATTTGTGTGCAAATGCATGCTGGTGTGCGCGTTCAGCGTTACGCGTAGCGCGTATTGTTCCAAAGATCCAGAGCTACAGCGTTATGTTCAAACATTTTTGTGATAGGTTGGTTTGGAAGAGAGAAATATATTTTCCTTCAGTTTTGTATTGAAAAAAAAAAGGTTCAAATATATCAAATGACAAAGATCTATATGTCAGTTATATAAAACAAATATTGAGTGGCTTTAAATTGTGAAATGGGAGGAATATTATCGCTCGGTAAAATCTGGACTTTTCCAGTTCACTCGGCTTTGCCTCGTGAAATGGAAAAGTCCAGATTTTACCTCGCGATAATATTCCTCGGTAAAATCTGGACTTTTCCAGTTCACTCGGCTTTGCCTCGTGAAATGGAAAAGTCCAGATTTTACCTCGCGATAATATTCCTCCCATTCCACGCTGAGCCACTCAATATTTGTATACTATGTGATCATAATTATTTGTGGGGCGTTCTGGCAAAATGAGACAGAACTGGGCAGAAGTCGCAATGAGGGTTTGTTGGTATTAGGAAAGAGAATATAATTCTCCTGGAAATACTGTTTGTTGCACTTCAATCAAACATTCTGTTGACAAGTTAAGGCTGTTTGAATTGCGTATTTATGGACATGTCAAAAAAGCAAAATACTGAGAAAAAGAACTTTAAAGTTTGGATATATGTATTAATGAAAATGAAAGATGCCAATCGTTTTTTTTCCCTTTAAAAACACCTTGATATGATTTTTGTATTATTTCTTTGAAATATATATAGTAGATATATCAAAAATGACAAATATCAATTAGTCTGAAAATTGCAAAAAAACCATTATTCCCACTCGCTTTTTGCATTTTTTTGGCCTATGCCCAGCAGTTGTAAAACTACAAGAGTTTTACAACCCACCGTTTCTTTTCAGAACCACACATTTTCCCAAAAGAGATTTCTACATGGTGTTACTGCAAATATTCACTAGTTCATACCACCACCACGTAAAGTTCCAAACCACTTGTTGCTATTTTACTCGTGAGAAAATTTTAGACTTGCCGTACGATTCTGACAAAATTGTTTTCAAAATGGCGGAATGAGGTGATTCAAGGACTGTTTCGTGAACAAACAAATTCATACTCATACGTAAACAGCTGTCGTACATGCTGTTAATATCCTAGTCCAAGATGTTTAGATAATTAAAAAAGTTGCGCAGCTACGCTAAGTTTCGGGAAATCGATCGTAAGTTTACAGGGTGTCCCAAAAAAAAATGCTTCACTCTCCTTTTTTTACAAATTCAAGCAAACCTGAATGCATAAATGTTCTTATTATGCATGGTAAGAATGCTATGTGTCTTGGTTGTTATCTACCAAAAAAATTGGATCATACTATCAATCCACTAGGGACAGAAATGCTTAAATATGAACTCGCCTCCATTTGCCAACTGCGCTGGGGAATCAAATCACCAATTTTAAAATGTCGATTTTTGTCAAGTGTACTTTTCAAAAATTCTACTTGGTATCGATTATGAAAGACCAGTCATCAGTCGTTATCAAGCATACAAGAGAAAACCAACCAACCATGGCATTGTCCATTTATTGGACTTTGACTAAAAAAACCTATTTGTAAATCAACCACACGTAACAATTGTTCACCAATGGCTGATTGTTCACAATGCATAATAAGAAAATTTATGCATTCAGGTTTGCTTGAATTTGTAAAAAGAGGAGAGTGGAGCATTTTTTTTGGGGACACCCTGTATTGCGAAGCTGCGCAACAGATTGGAGTCCTACGCATGCCGTAATCTACACATTTTCCCGTGAAATCGGCTGCTGTTCCGTCTCCTTTTGCCAGAACGCCTCACATTTCAGTTCCTCAATTCCTGGAAGGTGATCGCACATTAGAGGGATACTTCCTGTTCATATCGAGCTCTTCTTGTAGTACTATACTCGTCTGTTGTAGGGCGGTCACTTGAGACTTCAATGATTCAATAGTGTCTTCAAGCTCCTAATGAAAAGAAAAGAGAGCCAAACAAATAGAATCAAGCAAGTCTGCTATATGCTCTTAGTATGTTGAATTTGTTGTCTGATGTGTGACTGCCGACTAGACTGAATAAAGACAAGTAGACTGCTATCATTTGAGGCTTTGCATGGTGGGGTATCGGTATCGGTTCGGTTTGCGGTAACACCATGTGTTAATAACTACCGTACTGCTTAGAAGATATTAGTTCTGAAAAGAACTTGTCCTGCTTATTATCAACTTTGCTAAGTAGTTTTTTGTTCTGATAAGAACAGTCCTGCGGTAAGTTCTAAACGAACTTGTCTTTGGTCTCAACGTTTCGACTAGCCTGCTCTAGTCATCGTCAGGAGACTGTTCTTATCAGAACAAAAAACTACTTAGCAAAGTTGATAATAAGTAGGACAAGTTCTTTTCAGAACTAATATCTTCTAAGCACATAGTATTGTCTTGAACTGTGCAGCGAGGAACAGGAAAGGCGGTCTTAGGCAGTAAATGAACAAAAAGGTTTAATACCCTATTTTCATCTACAGCCGCGTTCACATTGGACTTAATTTTGTGGGAAGTTACCAAGAGTGACTGTTAAAATTCCATTGTGGTTATTCCACCGTACATCCGCACTATAACATTTTGCCCCACAGAAAGTCATTGGTTTTGTAAACTTTACCGTGGTCGTGGCAACAATACATTATACAAATATTGAATGCTTCGAGTGGTGTAGTAAAACTAGCCTCCCGAGGTTATCCATGGACCATTCTATTTTTCCCGAGGCGAAGCCAAGGGAAAATAGAATGGTCCATGGATCACCTCGGGAGGCTAGTTTTACTTCACCACGAGATAAAGCATTCAATATTTGTTTTATAACACTTCACCCACAGATTCTGCTTGGTTTTAATATTTTAAATTATTCAAATCTGAACACAGTTGAAATAACTTCAATTTCAATACAAAATTGGTGGAAAATGTATTTCTCTCTTCCAAACTACCCCTTCACGAAATGTTTGCATCCAAGTCTGCGGCGCGCTCTCTTTGGAACAATACGCTCTACGCGCAACGCGCACACCAGCATCCATTTGCACACAAATACCGCGCCGTGGAAATAGTACTTTGGTTGCAAATGGTATAGTACTTTGGTTGCTACAGGTATAGTACTTTTGGCCGTGCACAGAAAGATAGCAAAATTAAAAAGTAACATGTGACTCGTGCTCGACCAATCAAGACACAGAATCTGTGGGTGAGGTGTTATAACAGATAATATCGCACAACACAGCAAAAACACTGTGGAATCTCACGGATAGTACATGTACGTTTTCAGTGATTAAAACTAACAATGTGATTCTCCATGACCAGTTGGCCCTGTTACCATACCGCTGCAGACCATAAAACTTATGATTAACAGCTGACAACTGACAGTTTGGGAAATTTACCGGTTGTCCAAACTGGACTTAATTTGGTTAAGTTGACAACAGTCTATATTAGTTTTAACCGGAAAAAAAGTCCATTGCGAACACGGCTCAAATTATGCACTGCCTAATTTTGGGATTCCATACGTGACCTGCTCAGGCAAAATGTGGAGTGTCCCCCAAAACCTAGTTTTGATTTGATATGTTTTTTTTGTGGTATTTTTGAGGAGACAAGGTATCCAAGATTCTCACTATGAATTTTTGTTGGGAAAAAATATCACCAAAAGTGTAAAAACTGAAGAACGTTATCACTGCCGTTGGCTGTGCAATGTGTGTCATTTTTTCCAACGAAAGCCGTTATTCTCGAAATGAGGGCGGCGAAGTTCGGCGCGACACTGTTGAAGCTATTGTGCCATATCTTTGGAATAAATTAAGCTTCCGGTACAGAAATAAATTTGGTATCATTGGAAAGCCAATGACTTGCTCTTTAACGTGATGTATATAATTTGAAAAGTCAAAGATGAGGGTTATTCTTTATTATGCTATGGCGGGTCACTTAAAGCTATAGTCCATCATTTGCAGCCATCCGAAAAAGTAACTGACATATCATTGTTGAAAAACATACTTGGTTGAAAGATAGTAAGTGGACTAAACTCCCTGTGAAATTATTCTTTCTGGCAAGCTATCATTTTGAAGTAATCAACGAAAGAAGGCCTTTCCAACGGTGCGTCTTAAGACGCACCGTAGGAAAATTTAAATTAGTAGTTCGTTTTGTTATTCGGCACAGCGCGCGCAAGCATTGGCACGACGCACAGGAGCACGCAGTTGCTATAATTCGTCGGATCAGTGCGCGACATCGCGTATAGCTGCAATTCAGAACAATTCAAAACATGATTCAGCAACTTTTGATTTGAAATTGAGATCCTAGAATGCTGTTTTTCTCGGAATATACAGCTTAAGCTGAGCTGAAACTTCATCAGGTTAGTTGTTCAGTATCTTTCATTAGATTTTGAACACTTTTATTGCTTCAAACGAACAAAATGTACAAATTACAAATGATGGACTATACCTTTAAATGTATCGTGTTTTTCCGCTACGTATGATTTATCTCAGGTCATGCCAAACATCAATAGCATCAAAATTAACTGACAACGCACAGATGGAAAGGTTGCTATACATGTACATCATTCGCTATTTTGTCTGTTCAAGGTTCTTACCTGTCTAACACTCAGAGGCATAAACCCTCGCATTCTATTCTCGTTATCTTGCTTCAAGTGGGTCATCTGGTAATCAGAGCAATCAGAGAAAAAAACAAAAAAGTTGCATCAGTCAAAATACATCAAATTAGGTTGATGAAACTCACAGGGACGTAGTGGAGCTGATGAACACTAATTCCTTGCTGAAGATATGATGAAATTTGAGAACCCATATCAAACGAACATATTTATGCTATAATGGGGCAGATAGGGGAAATATTTAGGGGATTATTCACTTTGATGATAAAAGCATGGCATTTGGCACACAGTCAGAGTGTGTTAAGAAAAATATAGGGCCATTGCAGATTTATCCTTTAAAAAATATAGGTAGAATAAAACCAATTTCCATTTTTTTTTTTTAAATGGTTGCCATTGCTTGTTATTCTACCCCTATTGATTTTGGCAAAGGACAAATCTGCGATGGCCCTATAGCTAAATATCTTTCTCATGACATACTCCGACTGTGTGCCAAATTCCAAGCTTTTATCATTAAAGGAACAATCCATCAACTATCTGCCGTACTACTAGTGATTAGCATATATCTGCTCTTTAGGGACTGAGCTGCTACAGTGTTCAAATTTCAATGTTTGCTTTGCTGGGGTTGGGGCTGGGAGGTTGGAGGTCTGGAGGAGGTTTGGGGTTGGGCTTAGACGGTTTGGGGGTTGCCACAGGAGGGGGGGGGGGGGAAGTGGGGGGAAAGTGGGGGAGTTGAGCCTGGGGGGAGGAGGGGGGAGTTGAGTTGGGGAGGGGGGGGGGAGTTGAGTCGGGGGGGGGGGGGGGGGGGTGAGACGGGGAGGAGGGGAGGAGGAGTTGAGGTGGGGGTGGGGGAGGGGAGTTGAGGCAGGGCGAGGGAGGGGGAGTTGAGGCGGAGTGAGGGAGGGGGATTCGAGGAGTTGAGGGGGGAGTTGAGGCAGGGAGAGGGGGAATTGAGGCAGGGAGAGTTGAGGCGGGGGGGGGGGGGGGGGGGTGTGTGAGGCAGGGGGAGTTGAGGCGGGGGGGGGGTGTGTGAGGCAGGGGGAGTTGAGGCGGGGGGGGGAGTTGAGGCGGGGGGGGGGGGGGGGGTGAGGCAGGGGGAGGGGAGGGGGAGTTGAGGTGGGGAGGGGAGTTGAGGTGGGGGTGGGGGAGGGGAGTTGAGGCAGGGCGAGGGAGGGGGAGTTGAGGCAGGGTGAGGGAGGGGGATTTGAGGAGTTGAGAGGGGGAGTTGAGGCAGGGAGAGGGGGAGTTGAGGCAGGGGGGAGTTGAGGCGGGGGGGGGGTGGGGGGAGTTGAGGCTGGGGTTGGGGGTGCAGGGTGGGGAGGGGAGGGGGTTGAGTTGGATGGGGGAAGCAACCGCCTCCGCAGTCTCTGGTTCAAACCTCATGCTCCATATACCTGGTCTTGATGCTGGAAATCTTTCTGTTGTAAGTCTCTCTCCATCTGTCTTGCTCGGCTCCTCTGCTTATCCAGATCTTGGTGCAATGTCTAGTCAACAGAGGAAAAAACATTAATGTACTCAACTAAAAGTCAGTTAGAACAAGCACACATTTAGCCAGCTTGTGTATGCTCCAAATAGTTAGTTTCTAATGAATTAAATGTTAAGAAAGCACACTTTAGTATTGCAGTCAAAGAAGTTTTGTTATCGATTAATAATAATAATAATAATTTGGGGGCTAATAATCCTAACTCATAGCAGAAGCTGAATTGCGACGGACGCAGCTACAACATGCTCCAGCCGAAGGCATGTAAAGGCGCCTTAGGCAGCCATCATACGACCCATGTCCGACGACGGAGCACAGCCAGAGATCGAAAGTTTTGATTTTTGCGGAGGGAGGAAAACTGGAGAGCCCACAGAAAATTCCTTGTGGCACAACAAGAGAGATTCAACAAACAACTCTACTCACAAATGACCTGAGCCTGGAATCGAACCCGGGCCACAGTGATGAGAGGCACTACACCACCCATGCCACCCCATTAGTTGACCAACACAGATTCTAACCACTTGAACAAGATATTAACAAAATGGGGGATTGCCAACATTATGGCTAGATAGCTCAGTTGGTAGAGCTCCAGACTGGCTATCCGGAGGTCGCAGGTTCAAACCTTGCACCAGTCAATTTCTCTGTTCAACTTTAAAGCACTTTAATCATATACTCATACGTTAATCAATTTTGTCTGACCTTGAGGTAAGCAGCATGTTGTTTCTTAAGGAGTTCTTTCTCATCTTCTAGCTTTGCGATCGCATCCGTCATCTGTCTCTCTAAGTCATTCCTACAACTGTCAAAACACATGACGTACAGCAATAAACTAATACACTCACCACATTATAACAACTTAAAGGCATACATACGATTACTTGCATTTATCCCAAAAGTCACCTAACGAACTATTATCATAGGGCTCATTTGGATTGGAGATCGTACTGGTACTAAACAACCCGTGAAACTCTTCTGTCTGGCTTGCTGATATTAGAAGAAATAGAAAAAGCCTTGTGATTTCCCACGATCAGTCAATTGACGAATCGTTAGAAATAAAGTGTTCTATTGACAAAACTATGTCTCGCGATCAAAAGGTTGTGCATGGTTTTTCACTATTTTCTTGAATAGTGTAATATCCACTGAGCTGAAATTACAACATGTTAGGTTTTAAACCTTTTTCTTTGGATTTCGACTGTTTTTTTTTTTTAACATAGCAAATGATCCTATACGCCTTTAAGCGTTAAGGGATGTCAAAGACGCGAGATCTATTTCAGTGTTGTCAGGATTATCTTGGTCCAAATACTTGTAACTGTTGAAAAGAACTTTTTGCAGTTTAAATCCAAAACATCAACTATCGAGTCATGTTTTTCCTGAGTAAGAATGGCAAACAAATCTGTACAGGTACGTGTGCAAGAAAGATATCCAACTTCTTTTACATGTAATAACAGCATTACTTTCTAAAAAATAATATTGTTATATCGCACGCATGGATACTGTAATTTCACTGGTCTACATGGGCCATGTGTCAGGATGATAAAAATGCATGTCACACACCGATATCCATTCTTGAGTAGAGATCAGTGATATCGCTCATTGCGTACGTTTCGCGTGCGTGTGGAACCTGCCGGCGCACTAGCTTTACGTAATGAGAACTGCAACGTCAACTGCTCAGTCTCATGTCCGGCAGGACATCAAAACCTTCAATGTTATCAAAGGTTACATCGCAGTGATTTAATTTATTTCTCACACAGTTAAAGTTACAACCATTTATCTTATCCACCATTAGGCCAAAAAGAAAAATAAGTCGGTCTTTGGTCAGCGCGCGCGTCGATTTTAATCATGCGCGTCGATCTTTTTTTTCTCCAAAATGTTCCGCGGTAGCTCCAACAGCGCCCTCTATTTCCGCACCTCCTCATTTTTTTTTTACCAAAGAGCACCAAGGAATGGGAAATTGCACCAAGGCAAATGATCGAAAGCACCCGAGGCAAATTATGGAGAACACCAATGTACATGAGGACACCAAAAATGCAAAATAGTACCCCACCTTGTCTGTACAATCCAAGCTGGAAGAAAAAAAGAAAAAGAAAAAAAAGCCACGTGGCCGCGTCAATTCCGGAACTTTGGTCTGACCAGAGACCGAATATTTTTTTTTGTGGCCTTATTGGTGCTCAAGGTGCTACATCATTGGGCCAATGAAACATTCCAAATACCATCTCAGCTCCCTGGGGAGTACACAGCTCGATGCTGTTACTTTGGCGCAAAACAGCTAAAATCAATCACAATGACCATCTCTGCCCTCACAGGTACCCATTTACTTCTGGGTGGGGAGCAGCAAGGAGTGACAACGTGCCTTGCCCAAGGACACAAGCACCACATCCCGAGGCTGGACTCGAACCCACAACCTGCAGAATTTAGACCTGCAGACCATGAGTTCAATGCTCCAGACCAGGAGCCCACTGATGTTGTGCATCAGGTCGGGTTGACCAGGCCAAACCGACCCAAAACATTAAGACATAAACCAAATCTGAACCGAAATCAATCTGAACACCCAAATCCGACTCAACCCGACAAAAATTTAAGGAAAACCAACCTGATCGAACCGACCCGAAACCCCCCACTCAAATAGACCAGTATTTCACAAACACTGTGTCAGCTTTTTGTGCCTGAGCTTACCCGTGTCGCGTGTATTTTTGGTGGAAATCGTTGTCTCTCAGTAAAGAATCGTATCGTACGGTGCGGTGAACACTCCTAACATGACCTACCGGTGGGCCTACATGTTATAGACTGCGTGTGAAAGACCACAAACCACATGCACAATCACACGGTGGGTTGACACTGCAGTACACATGTAGTACCGGGCACAGTGTCTCTGCAGTAATATTGCACCACGTGATTTTCCAAACTGTTTTAGAATTTTTTCGGGTTTCTCACAAGATGGCTTAACCGACCCGACCCCAAAATTGCAGACGCATAACCGAAACCGGCCCAACCCAACTGAAATGATGGAAAAACTTACCCAATCTGAAACGAAGTTGGTTTCAGGCCGGTTTGGTTTCGATTTTGGGTCAGGTTTGCACAACATTAGGGCCCACTGCACTTGACTCTAAGAATGAAAACTTTGTTATTCTGTAAGCTCACCTACTAGACTCCTGTCGCAATGTCTCTATTGTATCGTTTAACTGCCTGTTATTCTGTGCAGAAAAGGAAGAAAATCACATCGCTTGAATGAAACAGGTTGACAAGTTTGCTGCAGATCTATTTCAGGAAATTGTTAACATTAGAACCTTAGGCAACTTTAAGTAGCAAAACCCAGCAAAACACAGCCATTTTCTGATGTTCAATTTTCTTGGTATACCATTAATTCACAAAACATTCCATTCAAAATTGTTGTATTCATTGATCCAAAAAATCTGTTCACAAGACTGTTTGAACTCATCTTAAAGCCATCTTAAAAAAAAAGACAATTGTGGCACTCATAATCAATCAAAAATTTCTTTGCAATTTGGGTCCGAGTGACCACTGATAAAAATAGCTGAAAACAGCTGAAAAAGGTGTAAAAAAAAGCTGAACTTTGAAAATCTCCTATACTTTTGTACACAACAAGTGAGGGGAAAAAGCTGAAATACAAAACAAAAAAAGCTGAAATCAGCTTTAAAGCTGAGATTTCACACCCCTGTTCCATGTGGTTTGTAAATTTCAAAACTATTTGCAAAAATTCCTAGATCCATCTTAGCTTACCTCAGCAGTCTTGGTCAGTCGTTCATTGTAATCTTTCTCTATGTCTTTCAGTCTTGAGTTGGTCTGAAATGAATTTTAGACGAAAACACAAAGCACAGTTTGCAATTTGAATTGGTACATGCACAGCAGGACATCAGTCATTTTTATGACTGTTGATCGTATTTGTTTGGGAAAAAAGTACGTGCTCTGTCACATTTTGTAATATAGGTGAATTCCAAGATAGTGAAAGAATTTGACACTCTGTATGACAACTCGCAATTTACAAATATTGACTGCTTCCAGTGGTATAGTAAAACTTGCCTCCTGAGGTGATCCATGCTCCGTGGATCACCGAGGGAGGCTAGTTTATAGCTGAACCACATATTAAAGTGGTCAATCTTTGTTTAATAATACCTCACCCACATATTCTGCCTGATTTTTAGAGATTTAAGAGCTTGATTTTAAGTCACGCATGCGCAATAGTTTCCCCCATTTTTCGGGGGAGATTTCCGGAATAGGCCAGGACAATGAAGACATTGTTACTGACGGTTCGTGGATGATATTGGTTGGTCGTGATAACGCCCTCTCCTGGCGGGCGGTGGGTTATCACGTATCAAACCATAGCAAGGTCTAGCCCCTAGACTAAGTTGAGGTGGCAGAAATACAGCGAACAGATAAACTCAAGTTCTAAGAACTAGATAAAGTAACCAATTTCATGCAAACTGCCTAATACTGAAACACTTGTAAAACAAATCCAAGAGAGGTTGACCTATGGGCTCCGTGCGCCAAAAAAAGAGGGCACGTTTTTACCTCTTTTGAGATCTCCGTGGACGGGACACAACAGCGTGCGCGTACTGTACTGGTTTGCGTGCGAAGTACGCACGACTTCCTGAATGTGCAAAAGCTATAGCCACCCGGTCATCCCATGAGCGTCAGGCGTCGTCGGCGTGCGAATACATTCGAATTCAACTGGTCTCCCAGACTAATCCCCGACTCCAATAACTTTGGATACATTCGAAATACGCAGTGGATGGATCGGGAACCAGTTTAGGTCACCCCCAACTCTCCTTTTCTGGACGTTGATGGGGTACTTGTGCACGGAGCAGATATTGACAATGTGGTTATTTTGGCAAAAAAGATAACCACACGGGGGTAAACTGCAGGCAAAATTAATCCTTACAATTTTCTTTAAAATACTGCTGAAAGTATGACAGAATAAAAATATATGTTTATATAGTTTATATAATATAACATAGGCTACCAAATTACAATATAGGTTTAATGAGTTTCACTGTGAAGCCTGTCCTCTTCTTTCACTATGATGAGTAACAATGAAAATATAAATGAAATAACGAAATTCGAAATAAAACTTTTGCACAGGTATTGCAAAATTACACCAATTTCTTGTCATTAGCCTTAAAAAGGGGGCAAGGATTTCTACTTACTTTTTGTAACATTTGTTCTATTTCAGCACTGTGGTCTCTTTGTAATCTTAATCGCTGCTGTTCCATCTCCGACTTCAGTGTGGAAACCTTCCATAAAATAAGTTGCACATATTATCTAATTGAAATGGAAGCAGAGAAGACGGCACATACAGGCTATCTTCGCCACTGGAGATTTGGTTTAAGATGTCCATAATTGGCAGTCTGTAATATCTCTTATATTCCGTCCAAAAGTTGCCCAATGCACCAACACAAAACACTTGCTAAAGTGCGAAGCCAGCATAAATGGAATGATTGAGTGAAAGAGCTCTTAGCAGAAACTTGCGACACCGTCTCGGTGTCTTTATCAACACCGTCTCGATGTCTTTATCAACAACTCATAGCAGAAATTTGCGACGGCGTCTCTGGGCCCTTATCAACACCATCTTGATGTCTTTATCAACAACTCGTTGCAGAAACTTGTGACACTGTCTCGGTGTCTTTATCAACACCGTCTCGGTGTCTTTATGAACAACTCGTAGCAGAAACTTGCGACACAATCTTGGTGACTTTAACAACTATTCGGTATACAAGGCTGCACTTCAAAAGGTCTGGATTCTTGTCCATCACGCTGATCAACTGGGAACAAAGGATGTTTAACGGTTTGTGTGCTACCATGTCACCATGCTCTCTGAACACACAGTTCAGCAGTTCAGACAGACCTCGGACATATGGTGGAAATCTGCAGGCACAACCCCAAGATTAATAGAGATGGAGGATTCGAGCTGGCCCACGTGTACGACCGCCTCCTGTTGAGCGACCTAGTCATGGTCACGTGACAGGTCACGTGAGGGCCTCATTAGTAACGCCAGTTGATACAGACACTGAGACGGTGTTGCAAGCTCCTGCTACGGGGTTACGAGCTCTTTCACTCAAGTCCCAAAAAGTACCTTTCCATTAATTTGATTCAATAATGAAACTGGAAACAAACTTTCATGTTCCAGATCCAATAGGTTAAAAACTCCAAGACCAAACTACTCAGAGTTTGTGGTTGCCAATTGCATCAGGATACAACATGGTATTGTTTAATGGGACTAGCCTCAATCATCACAGAACTGGCAGTTTATGCACTAGTGTTGATTGCCCAACATACGGCCATAGTGGCCTCCCCTCCAGTAACAACCTAAGAGTTCCATGTACATTCAAAAGGGCAGCGAACAGGGCCGTCTCAGTGTCTGGTCCCCGATGCTGGAATTCCTTATCACACACCAGCCGCAACATCAGTTCTCTTGACAACTTTAAGGGTATATTGAAAACTGATCTGTTCTCTCCACATAATCTGTAACTTTGTCTCCTGGGGTTGCCCTTAGCTGCGCGCTGTAGCTTGCGAAAATGTGCGCTAGTTCAAGTTCAAGTTTACTTACTGCTGTCTCACTTTCCCGTTGCGCTCTCTGCTTCTCTTCTTCTCTGAGCAGCCCTAGTTCCACTAGCTGCTGTTTTCGTAGGGACTCACTCTGCATATTGGCCTCCCTCAGCTCACGAACTTGCTGTTCAAGCCCTCTTATCATCTTGAAATAAAAAAAGACAAATTCATTGAAATAAACATTTATTTGAGCCAGCCGAGACATCAGGAGCTTCTTTAGAGCTATCTTAATCATACTGAATATTCGACCATCGACCGAATATTCGAACAGGTTTTTGCCAGTTTTAAGAATATTGGAGAAGAAAAAACGCTACGCATGTGAACACACGACTGTGATGTTATTTTAATCGTAAAGTTGGAGTTTGTTATTGTCAGATGCAACTTTTTTGGTTGACAGTAACTTTTTTATCGACGCCTATTCATTGGTGCCATTCTTTAAAATGGATAAAGTCCCTTGACAGTTATGCAGGAGGCCTACTTCCTGCAAAACACTCCAGTTGCCCATAATATCCATCGCCACGTGGACATTTTAACAGGTGCGCTTTGTATGCAACTTTTGACCAATGAGGAAGGCAGCTGCAGCTGGCACGTGTAAAACGGATTGGCGAGTTTTGAATATTCAAAATAATTCAGACAAGTTTTGAATAATTGAATACTAAATTATTCGAAAATGGACAGCCCTTGCTTCTTTTGCCTTGTCAAAAGACCCATTTCTGGTCTGGAGTGCTGAATGGTAACACATAGCAACCGATGAAAATGCTAAGAAGTAAATTTTGTCAAGCTACATAGAACAAGACAAGGTGAGTTCAGTAAACTGGTCCTTGAGTACACAAAATCTTATTCAATTGATTCAGCATGGTTATTCACTGAAACGAAACGTCAAGAAGATGGCAATTCTTTCCGAAAGCTGTCAGTTTGGTCACCTACAAAGGTTGAATAGATAATACGGATAAAGGGTTGATTTTTTTTTGGGGGGGGGGGGCGGGATTTGCCAGTAATGATAGGCCCAAGAAATGTGGGTCAGCCCATGCAGGTTAATCAAATGTATTCTATTTCTTAACACTTTCTGCTATGCCACTCAAACTGACCTCACAATTAAAGGCATAGGATCATTTGCATTTATCCCAATTATGATCCAAAAGCTTACTTGGATTAATACTAAACACCCTGTGACATTATTCCATCTGGCTTGCTGTCATTTATAAAAAAACTCAAGAAATGTGGATAATTTCCGACAAACAGTCAATTGACTTTATTTTGGAATACAGAGTGCTAAGGACGAAATCATGTTTGGTTATCCAAAGGTTGTGCATGGCTTTCACTAGAATATTCACTGGGCTGAAACTTCAACAGGTTAGGTTTGGAACATTCTTCTTTGAATCTTGTCTGGAGTTATTAATGGACAAGAACAAAACACATGAACAGCAAAGAATCCTATATGCCTTTCAGACGTAGTGATTACGACATCATGAAAATTCCTCTGTAATGCCTACCGCTGTATCCCTGTCTTGCCGTTGTAAACTCTGCTTATGTTCTTCATCTACCCTGCCCTGTAGCCTGTCTGTGGTGACTGCCAGGATGCGTTCGTGTTCCTGCTGCATCGATTCCCGTTCCATCTGCTGTTGCTGGACTAGCTGGGTTACCTTCTCAATGTGTGATGTCTCCTGATCAGAAAGCTGCAAAGGCAAATTTTTTATTTCACTTTTGATTTCTTTTTCAAAAACAAAACATTGATAAAATTCCAAAAGAACTGGAGCCAATTTCATGACCCTGCTTAACAGTACCTATCGTACTATATGGAACAGAATCCTGGACAACAAAGAAAGGAGACGAGAACAGGCTAAAGGTTAAATTCAACTGACTGAATTTTTGGAAATAAAGGGCACAATGCTCAAAATTGTGTTTCGTGATTAAAACGTTGCGCATGGTTTTTTACTGTTTTCTCGAAAGGTGTTATATCCACTGAGCTAAAACTTTAATAGATTAGGTTTTGGATTTTGAGTGGTGTTATAATTGGAACATACAAAATACAGCAGAGCAAATGATCCTATATGACTTGAAGTATTCAAATATGAACCCACTGACAGTAAGGCCAATCAAAAACAAAATAGTCGGTCTCTGGTCAGCGCGCGTTGATTTTAATCATGCGCATCAATCTGTTTTTTTCAAATTTTCTGCGGTAGCTACAACAGCGCCCTCTATTGCCGCACCATCTCAAATTTTTGTACCAAGGAGCACCAAGGAATGGGGAAATTGCACAAAGGCAAATTATGGAGGGCACCAAGGCAAATGATGGGGGACACCAATGTACATGTATATGAGGACACAAAAAGCAAAATAGTATCCACCTGGTCTGTACAATCCCAGCTTGAAAACAAGTCAGGTGTGTTTACAAACACAAATGCCCCGCAACGGTGACAGTTCCCATGACATAACACCACTCTTTTAACATCAACTTACATGTACCTTGGTCACATGGAACATTCATTGACAGCATTAGTGTCTTCTGTAGGTTTTATATGAATGAATCCCTAATCCCTATAATCTCAGAATAAATACATGATTTCTATTGTTTTAGCCACTGTGAACTTGACCGTTGACCTTTTGGCCCCAAATTCAATAGGCTTCTTAGGATTACCAAGAACAATCCACAAACCAAATTTGAAGTTCACATGTTAAGTATTTCTCAAGTTATCGCGCTGACAAGATTTCTATTGTTTTAGCCACTGTGAACTTGACCCTTGACCTTTTGGCCCCAAATGCAATAGGCTTCTTAGGATTGCCAAGAACAATCCACAAACCAAATTTGAAGTTCATATGTTAATTATTTCTCAAGTTATCCCGCTGACAAGATTTCTATTGTTTTAGCCACTGTGAACTTGACCTTAGGCCTTTTGGCCCCAAATGCAAAAGGCTTCTTAGGATTGCCAAAAAAAATCCACAAACCAAATTTGAAGTTCACATGTAAAGTATTTCTCAAGTTATCGCGCTGACATGATTTCTATTGTTTTAGCCACTGTGAACTTGACCTTTGGCCTTTTGGCCCCAAATGCAAAAGGCTTCTTAGGATTACCAAGAACAATCCACAAACCAAATTTGAAGTTCATATGTTAATTATTTCTCAAGTTATTGCGCTGACAAGATTTCTATTGTTTTAGCCACTGTGAACTTGACCTTTGGCCTTTTGGCCCCAAATGCAAAAGGCTTCTTAGGATTACCAAGAACAATCCACAAACCAAATTTGAAGTTCATATGTTAAGTATTTCTCAAGTTATCGCGCTGACAAGATTTCTATTGTTTTAGCCACTGTGAACTTGACCTTTGGCCTTTTGGCCCCAAATGCAAAAGGCTTCTTAGGATTACCAAGAACAATCCACAAACCAAATTTGAAGTTCATATGTTAAGTATTTCTCAAGTTATCGCGCTGACAAGATTTGTATTGTTTTAGCCACTGTGAACTTGACCTTTGGCCTTTTGGCCCCAAATGCAAAAGGCTTCTTAGGATTACCAAGAACAATCCACAAACCAAATTTGAAGTTCATATGTTAAGTATTTCTCAAGTTATCGCGCTGACAAGATTTGTCCGGACACACACACACCCACCCACCACACACACACACACCACCCACCCACCCACCCACCCACCCACCCACGGAAGGACGAGGCGGAAACAGTATGCCCCTTCGGCTTCGCCGCGGGGCATAATAAAAGCAAAAAAACAAAAACAAAAAAAACCGCGTCGCCGCATCAATTCCTGAACTTTGGTCTGACCAGAGACCGACAATTTTTTTATTTGGCCTAACCTTAAGTAACCACTTTAGACACACTGCCTAAAAAACTTGTGTACCTGCTTCTCAAATCGTTTCCTCTCTTGTTCCAGCTGTCTTGCATACTCTCTAGTCTGCGTCTGCCTGAGTTCCTTGGACTGGAGGAGGTCGGCTTCTACTTTCTGCATCTGTGCCTTCATGTCGTCAAACATCCTGCTGGAGTTATGCTCTACTTGCTGCTTGAACTCCTCCAGGGCCTTCTCCGCTTTCTGCGACTGCATCTTCCGCAGTTCAGCAAATTTCTCTAATTGTTCATCCTTGTCCCTAAACCAAAGAAAGAGTTCCAAATTTTTTCATTGGATTCTGCAAGATGCATCAAAATGATAAAGGTACAGTCCATCATATGTATACTATGTGCATTATGTTCATTTGAAGCAACAAAAGTGCTCAAAATCAAAAAAATCTAAACAACTAATCTGATGAAATTTCAGCTCAGTGAATGCTGTATATTCAGAGCAAACAATATTCTAGGATCTCAATTTCAAATCAAAAGTTGCTGAGTCATGCTTGCAGGCATGCAACTGGGAACTTAGGAAAAAACGAGGAAATTCCGAATCACACAAGACTTTGTACAGTGTTTTTCAATTTGTAATGGCATTCATGAGAAGTAAAAAACGAGGAAATCAGCGGATCCGAGGAAAAGTTTCATGCCTGTGTTTGGAATTGGCCCTGAAATCAGCGTTCGAGACACGTTCTCACTGAGCCGATTGCAGCTACGCGATGTCGGGCACTGAACCGACGAATTATAGCAACCACGCACACGTGTGCGTAATGTCAACACTTGCGCGCGCCTCGCCGAATAAAAAAAAACGAACTACTATCTGAATTTTTCAACGATGCATCTTTAGACGCATCGTTGGAAAGGCCTTCTGTCACTGATTTCTTCAAAACGACACTAAGAAAGAATAATTTCCCAGGGAGTTTAGTCCCATAATCATCTTTAAACCAAGTATGCTTTTCAACAATAATTACGTCAGTTACTTTTTGGATAGCTGCAAATGATGGACTGTACTTTTAACCGAAAACAAGACTAGGCAGACCAATGTGGTCTAAGGGTTCTAGGAAGTCATCTGAAACAAACTGTTGGGCAAAGGTGAGGGTAGCACGTCTAATTTACAAGGGGGAGTCAGTCAGTCAGTCAGTCAGTAAGATTAATACAAAGAGGACACTTGACTAATCCTCTGGGACCATTATTAAAGGGTCAGTATTTCAAAATTATAAACTAGACTACTATCAGTATGGCTACTGCTCAACCCTCACAGATACTTCAAATTCCGCTGAGGGTGGGGGGTTATTGGATGAATTTTGAAGGATCAAGGACAGTTCTGCCCAGTTGCTACCACTTTGCATGGGGCCAGGTGTCACTTGAAGGTCAAGTTTATAGGAAGAAAGTGCCATTGGGTTACATTACATTGGAGGATTTGGTGGATTGACCCTAACAATCCCCATCCAGTCAAACTCCAACACCAGGGTTTGTTGGAATCTGTTAGAATACTGTACAAGTGAACTGATCATGCTTTACATGGGGATAGGCATACCACCAATATTCAGAGTCCTACAGTTTTTGTGTACAGTTTACCATAATGATGTTGGAATTTGCAGGAGTGAGGAAGGTTCATAGTAAACACGGTAAATCACTCTAGGGGTTTAGAGTTAAGGATGGTTCCTAGCAAAATGGAGGACCACTGATTTCAAAAACAAACGAATGAAAAACAAAACAAAACAAAAAACCCTTTTTGCAAGTTCGTCTGTATCATGGCACGAGCTGCTCACAGAATGCATCATCTTTGGGCATGTGGGTACAAAGAAACACCAGCAGTCTCTTGGGTTAACGTCTAAAATCTCAAACAAATTCTCACTAATACATGTAGATCCCTCTCAAACAACATCACTGCCTACAGTTTGCCACATGCATTGGCATTTTGGAAGTCCAATTTTCGTGACGCATCGGCTGTGCCGTATTTCAAAGAAGTTTTGAGCAACATGCGTTCATGTTTAGAACATTTTGCACACTGCACGTAAACGCACCTGATGGCGTTGAATACGCAGTTGTAATTTTCCTACGAAGATGGCTGTCTATGAGAGGGGTCTATTCCATGTGGTAATCTTTGAATTGATTACAGTTGTCTAAATGTCTAAAGTAAAACAAAATTTACAGTACTATCTTAAGAGTTGTGCCACGTTATAAATTTGATCAATACCTGATTGTCTGTTGGAGTTTCAGGATCTTGTTGTGATTGTCTTGTCTTTCTCCTTCCAGCTCGGACCTCAAGCTCATTATCTGCTTCTCGTGAAGATTTTCCTGATGCAGCTTGTCCTGTTTAAGCATGGACTCCAGATCCTTAGCAATGACAAATAACATAAAAAAAACATTTAAACCATATAAATAACAAAAAAAAGCTCTTTCTGTTGAATGCTCTTCTTCTGGTACATGCCCCAGAAATCGCCACAGAAGGCTGATTTACTATATCACTTGAGGCAGTCAATATTTGTATATTATAACACCTCACCAACAGATTCTGTGTCTTGATTGGCCGAGAGCGAATAACATGGTATTTTAGCTATCTTTCAGTGAATGGCCAAAAGTACTATACACGTAGCAACCAAAGTAGTATACCATTAGCAACCAAAGTACTATACCACTGGCGCCATACTTTTGTGCAAATGCATGCTGGTGTGTGCATTGACCTTAGCGCGTATTGCTCCCAAGAGAGCGCGCCACAGAGTTTGGTTCAACCATTTTGTGAAGGGGTGGGTTTGGAAAAGAGAAATACATTTCCCACCAATTTTGTAGTGACACTGAAGTTTATTTTAACTATGTTCAGATTTAAATTATTTTGAATATTTTAACCAAGCAGAATTTGTGAGTGAAGTGTTATAAACCAAATATTGAATGCTTTATCTCTTGGTGATCCAAGGAGCATTTTATATTTCCTTGGCTTCGCCTAGGGGAAATAGAATATCCATGATCAAATAGAAAGGCTCGTTTCACTACACTATCCGAAGCATTCAATATTTGTATATATTATTCGACTAGGATATCACGACTATTAATTCTATCTTGCATCTGTTGCAGTCTGGTAAACATTGGGAGAGAGGCTAGTTGACTATTTTACTAAAAGCAGTCAATATTCATATGTAGCTCAACTAGGATGCAGTATTTTCTTACTCTGAGTTCTTGCCGTTGCTGGCTGGTAAACAGTAGAGGGGGCCAGTTAATATTGTACTACCTGAAACAGCAATTGTTGACTGCTGTAACGTGTGATATGACGTTTTTAACACCCGAGGGTCGCACAGCACCCGAGGCGAAGGAGGTTAAAAACGGCATATCCCACGTCACAGCGGTCAAAAATTGTTTTGTTATATCGTGCCAATAAGTCAAAAAGATAAAAGGTTGTAACGTACTGTGTGAGAAATAAATTAAATCACTGAGATGTAACCTTTGATAACTGAAGGTTTTGAGCGTTTGACGTTGCAGTTCTCAATGCGCAAAGCTAGCGCGCCGGCAGGTTCCACACATGTGCGCAATGAATGCAGTGCGATATCACCCTCAGTGAACGACACGCATTTTTATTGACCAGACACGTGCCTGTCCTAGACCAATGAAATCACAGTATCCAAGCACACGATATAACAATATAAGTTCTTACCCTGAGTTTTCACTGTATGTGGTGTTCACCATCCACAACTGCTGCAGGCTACTAAACATTGGAGAGGGGACTAGTTTTCTATACCACTCAAAAGCAGTCAATATTTTGTGTATTGTTCAACAAGGATAATGTTAGTTCTTACCCTTAGTTCACGCTGTCTTCGGTGTTCGCTATCTTGCAACTGTTGCTTCAAGTCCTGTATGTGTTGCTCCAGCTCACGAATTGTATCTACAGACTAATTCCATAAGAAAAATGGGGGGAAAAAAAGAAAAAGGAAAACAAATCAGAACCAAAATTATGGTGTTTCCAAAAGTGTTATGGAAAAGCCAACTACAGATTGTAGTATGGAAGGCATGAGTTCTAAAAATGCAATTCCTTAATATTGTAACACAAGATAGATTCATTTAAAGCTCAGTCCATCATTTGCAGCAATCCAAAAAGTGACTGACGTAGTTATTGTTGAAAAGTATACTTGGTTTAAAGATAATAATGGGACTAAACTCCATGTGAAATTATTCTTCCTGGCAAGCTGTCATTTTGAAGAAGACAATGAATAAGGCCTTTCCAGCGATGCGTCTAAAGACGCATCGATGGAAATTTCCTTTAGTAGTTCGTTTTTTTTTATTTGGTGAAACGCGCACAAGCGTGGACACGACGCACATGCTCGCGCAGTTTCTTCAATTCGTCGGTTCAGTGCGCGGCATCGCGTAGCTGCAATCGGCTCAGTGAGAATGTGTCTCGTACGCTGAATTTAGGCCCAATTCAAAACATGACACAGCAACTTTTGATTTGAAATCAAGATCCTAGAATATTGTTTTCTTGGAATATACAGCATTCACTGAGCTAAAATTTCATCAGGTTAGTTGTTAAGCACCCTTCTTCAGATTTTCAGCACTTTTCTTGCTTCAAACGAACATAATGCACAAATTACAAATGATTGACTGTAATTATTTTAAAGCTGAACAAAGAAATTGACTGGAGCGCATTTTGAACTCTACCAACTCAGCTATCCAGACAAAGACACTGCAAAGAACAAAGACGTTTACAAAAGGGGGAACTGCCAAAAATAGGGCTGGATAGCTCAATTGTAAAGCACACGAATGACAATCTGGAGGTCGCAGGTTCAAACCCTGCTCCAATCAATTCTTTGATTAACTTGAAAATAAATGTGCAAACAGTCGTCCATTAAAGGTAAGAGTACATCATTTGTCATTTGTGAATTTTTTTTCATTTGAAGCAACAAAAGCGCTCAAAATCTAAAGACGGGTGCTTAACAAATAACCTGATAAACTTGCAGCTCAGTGAATTCTGTATACTCTGAGAAAAACAAAATTGTAGGATTTTGATTTCAATTCAAAAGTTGGCGAGTTATGTTTTGCATTGCGCCCGATATCAGCGTCCGGGACACGTTCTACTTCAATATATTGCAGCTTCGCAATGTCACGCAATGCATCGACGAATTATAGCAAGCACGCGTGCGTGTGCATTGTGTTAACACTTGTGCACACCCATTCAGGGCTTAGCCAAATTAAAAACGAACTACTAAGGCCAAAAAAAAAAAGTCTCCGGTTTCTGGTATGGAGCTTGTCCAAAAAGTGGTGCGGCGACGCGGCTTTTTTTTTTTTTAACCTGACTTTTTTCCTTCAAATGTCGACTGATGACTGCAAATGGTGCCCGACTAAACTTAGTGCAAATATATGGGAGTCCAGAGAGGCCACATAAAGCTTATTCTCGATCATAACCCCATCTAAAAACACGTTAAAATTGTGCAGCAGCAGGATTCCAGTCAAACCAGTGAGTTTGGCGGTTTTGAGACATCATCTTTCATTGAAAAAAAACCTTTTTCACTTTGCCGACGCGCATGGCTACAGCGACGCGCGCGCATACCAGAAACCGGAGACTTTTTTTTTTTGGCCTAACGGAAATTTCCAAAAACGCATCTTTGGAAATGACCTTCTGTTATTATTTTCTTCAGAATGACATTATGCCAGAAAGAATAATTTCACAGGGAGATTTGTGCCATTACTATCTTTCAACCAAGTATGCTTTTCGACGATAATTTCATCAGTTACTTTTTGGATAGCTGAAAATGATCTACTCTACCTCCAAATGCTTGGAAAATGCAACAGACAATCAGAAAACTGTAGCCATACCTTGGCAAGAGACAAGCTGTGTTCTGTTTTCATGAACTCAATGCTGGCGTCTGTTTTGTTTCTCATGGATCTCATTTCCATCTCCTGGTCATCTCTGGCTTGTTCAGCTGCCTTCTCAACCTCAGCATACCTTTGTGGCAGTAAATACACAGAAATTGGTCAATTGTTGGTCCATTATCTCCGACATGTATGTCTTTTGAAGGACTTATAGGATCATTGGCATTTATTCCAAAAGCAACATACCAAATTATTGTCAAAAAGCTTACTTGGATTAAAGATCGTACTGGTACTATCCCCCCCCCCCCCCCCCCTTCCCGGGCAAACATTCCATCTGGCTTGCTGTCATTTTATTAGAAGAAATCAAGACAGGTAGGTGATTTCCAATGATCAGTCAACTGACAGATTTTTTGGAATAAAGAGTGATATCAATGAACTTGTGTTTTTGTTTAAGGTTGTGATGATTTTTCACTGTTTACTCGAAAAGTGTAATATCCAAGCCAAAACTTAAACAGGTAAAGTTTTTTAACATTCTTCTTTGGATTTTGAGTGCATTAAAAGCCACTGATCTAATATATAATAGGCCTTTAATATCACAAAAAATATACAGGGGCAGATGTACGAGTACACCCTAAAACAATAAAATTATTCAATAAGACTGATTCACGATACAGTGTGCTCCTTTTCACATTTACCTCCTTCATACACCATCCTGTTGTGAATCATTTATCCTCCATTGTTTACAAATGTAGGTGCCAAAAAGTAAAAAAAAAAGCAAACAAGAAAATTACTCTGCCCTGTGCAAAAAGAGTACTCTTTGGCAGGCATTTGTCAACTGTTTTCCTATAATGACCAGCAAAAATGGCCTCTCTACGATAACCTTATGGAGGGCATGGTATCATGAAATGCCCTTATTCCTTTACACTTTAGGTTTATGGCTTCTGACTAGCGCCCCCTGAACAAAATGTAGAACGGCCAATAGAGGGATTGATAGCTCAGTTGGTACAGCAATGGAACGGCAATCTGAAGGTCGTAGGTTCAAACTCTGCTCCAGTCAATTTCTTTGTTCCACTTTTAAATTAGTACTTTACACTTGATACTTGTCTAGGAATCTGATTCCTTGTTTTATTACCTGGTCCTGATATTTTCAAGCTCAGCACTCAGTAGCATGTTTCTCCTCTCCAACTCGGCTTTCTCTCGTCCCTGTTCAGCCTGGGCTCTGTTGTGCTTCTCCGATTCCTGGCTTATTTGCGTTATCCTGGCCTCTAGGTCTCTGATAACTTCAGCCTGTAACATTCAGTTATCACGAAAAGCGACTTGAATCATTAAGTTAGATTTGGTACAGTAGTTAACACTTTCGTTGCCCTCCACCTGTATGGCCTGGGTTCGATTCCCTCCTACAGTCAGCAGGTGGATTTGGTTTTCAGTTCCTACCTGATTATATGGTTTTCCCCAGAACAATTCTTCTTGAGTTTTTCTCCAACCTCTCAAACTGTAAATTCTTCGTTATGTTCTCTCTGCAGGTTTCTGCAGGTTTGCGAGCTACCGTGCTATGAGCAGTTTTGAGCAAGTCTTTGTTCAATACCAGAAACTAAATGCATGTAAGAATAAAGTGTAAGCCTGCAAGCCAGCTATTACATACATGACATGAAGTAGAAATTTATAATTAGAAATCAAAAAAATATATATTTTTCACATTTTAAGGACTTCAGTGTTAATGAGTATTTGACTGAAGTGAAGTCAAGTCTTCTGCTCTAAGTTACTCGAGTCCATTCAAGTCATTGGCAGGTAAGATGCCAGTCCAGTCGAGTAACTGAAAAGTGTACGTGATTGACAAAAGTATGTGACTCATGTTCAGTCTACAAATTGGCCTTTATTGATTCAAGTCAAGTCACTGAAACTTGTGACTCAAGTTGAGTCAACCCAGTTGCTTCTAATGACGACCAGTCGAATCACCTAAAATTGTGACTCAGGTCGAGTCAGGACATTGCCTGTGATGATTTGAGTCAAATTGAGTCACCAAAAAAGTGACTCAAACAAAGTCACCAAAAAAGTGACTCAAACTGAGTCAAGTCATTTGCTTGAAGAGACTCTAGACAAATGCAGGCTTGCACTTGGGAATTTAGAAAAAACGAGGAAATTCCAAACCACACAAGACTTTGTACAGTATTTTTCAGTTTGTAATGTCATTCATGAGAAGTAAAAGACGAGGAAATCAGCGGATGCAAGGAAACTTTGCACGCCTGCAAATGGAGTCACTAAAAATTGTGAATTAAGTATGACCAGTCGAGTATTGACTCTATTATCTCAATTAAGCCTTGGTAAAAGCCTACATGCTGGTCGACCTGCTCGCTGTACTCGGTCTCCATCTTGTGCAGTCTAACGTTGGTATCGTCTAAGATTTCTTGTATTGCTTTGGTGTGCTGTTTCTGCATTTCAAACTTCTCCTGCTCGAACTCGGCAGTCTTTTCATGGAGCTGAAACAAAAGCATTGTGAGAAATATGCAGCTCAGGTCTTTTTGTGACATTGGAAAATGTTTTGTTACATTTTGACATATTTATAAACAGCACAGTTTCCCCCAAACAAACAGCTGAGAAAACATAAACCAATCCTTTCCTACAACCGGAAATTCAAACAAACTTTCTGTAGTTTTACTCCATGAAATTAAGAGATTTCTTAGAATTGCATTGAGCTTTAGATGTAGTTGATTGACTAATGATGACACTACATGTAAGCAAAGAAATTAACTATAGCGGGGTTTGAACCTGCGACCTCCAGATTACCGTTCCGGCGCTCTACCAACTGAGTTATCTAGCCCTATCTTGGTGGTTCCCCAATAAGCCATTTGTGAGTAACCTATACCCTTTGGGATTTACATTTGAAAAACGTCTGGTACAATGACTTGCTCAGAATGCTTGGCACATTTTAACTGTGAATTCTCCAGACCAAAGACACTGTTGCTAATCACATGATTCGGGGCAAGCTCTTGCATAGTTACGTAAGAGACGCTCAGCACCAATACATCGTTCACAATGGGTGAGAATGGCACAAAGACACCAGACCATGCCGGAGCTGGGGGTTGCTAGCATAAGGCTTGCCCCGAATCACGTGATATAGTAACAGTCTCTTTGGTCGGGAGAATGCTAGGTTAAAACGTGCAAAGCATTGTATTAAGTCAGCGTTCCAGATTTTATTCAAATTTAACACGCAAATGGCTTATTATCAATGTCTAAATAGATAGTGGCCTGTTCTTAATTCACTTGATGATCATTGTTGAAGAAATGTGAGTTTACTGTTTCATTTAATATGAAGGACTACAATGTACAACTTCATAAAAGGGTTCTAATAATGACCGAGAAATGGTACCTTAGTGACATTCAAATAGACTTTACAAACAAAAGCCTTACCATAACCCTATTTGTAAATATTCCCACCCCTCCTAACTCCGTGCATAGTATTGGCTTATTGTTTTAGTTTTTTTACTTGACAGTGTTCTGTCTCCTCCCCAGACTGACTCCCATACTTGCATGCTCCCCTCATACAATCATTATTCAGTCTTTTTCTGTATAATAATACTGCTGTTAACCATGCTCATCTAGTTGTCCTCCTGTCATCGTCTATACAGGGTGGCCCTAAATACGGAATGCCGTACTTCCCCTACCCTGAGACTCCAACAACCTATACCAATGCATGGGGAATTCTGTTAAAAGAAATACGATACCAAGATCACCTGATTCGGTCTAGCAGCTTTTGTTCTAGAGCCTATTTTGTAAAACAAAGTCAGGAATCATTTTGTCCAAAAATATGTTTAATACTAAACCGCGCCTGCGAATTTGACTTATTGGATAGAGGGATTAATTGTCATGTAATAATACCCACATTAAAAGATGTGTGCTTCACAAAATAGGCTCTGCAGCAAAAACTACTGGACCGAATCGGGAGCTCTTGGTATCATATTTCTTCGAAAAAGGTTCTCCATCCATTGGTACAGGTGGCTTGAGTCTCAAGACTATGCCGTTCCCGTTTTTTTTGGGCCACCCTGTATTGTACATAGCCATTTTGTCTGTAATTCATCTGATATTTGTTTAGTATGTCTAGTTTTGTTTTATTTATACTGTATATTTTTGTTGGTATTTGTACCGTTGAGGTCAAATAAATAATAACAACTAATAACAATATTTTTTTAATTATACTACTCTCGACCTATGGAATCGTTTTAAGCAACTTGCGAAGGTGAAATTTGTTCTAGAAATGGTAGTTAAAACCTTAAGGGTGACACTAACATGTCTCCCTAAATGACAAATGCTTCCCTAATGTAAAATAAGTTTACTAGAAAGTGTCTACCTAGAAGAAGTTACCATATTGTCGTAATAATGCACATCACATGACAGGCTGTCAACCAATCGCAAAAGAGAAACTTCTAAAAGTATGTATCAACACTTTCGTCAACAGGTTTGAGCCTACCTTTGTTTCGTATTCATTCTGAGTTGACTGGTCGCTGTGTTCTACCATTTTCTTGAGCTCTGCAATTTGCTGGTCCCTGCTGTCACGTATCATAGCTGATTCTTTCACCAGGGTTTGAACTACAGAGACAAATAAATAGAAAAATATTAGGAATCAATGCTTAAAATTGTTATTTCTACAATATTCACAGCATATGGAATTCTCTATTTTCATTTTGCAATAGTGCAACGCAGCACTTCAATAACCATTTGACTTGACCAGGACACACAGTGCCACTCTTTACCAGTATACAAATAATGAATGTTTGTGAGTGCAATGGTAAGAATAATTTCATGAGGTGACAGATGAAATGTTCCATAGCCGAGTGGAATGGAACATTTCATCTGTCACCGAATGAAATTATTCTTTCTATTGCACGAACGTGAAACATTCATTATTTGTTTTATATAACACCTGGATGAATCCTCGTCATCTGATTAGTTGACTTTTAATAGCCAATTTATTCAAGTTAAAAATTGTTTACAAGTTTGACAAGTTCAGAGTTATCATATTTAATTTATGCAAACTGCTCAACAGGTTGAGAACTATCATATTTAATTTATCTCAATTTAAAACTTTTCCTTAAGTTTAGAACTTTAATAAACAATTCAATAAGTCCAGAATTTTTATTGCCAATTTAAACACCACAGCGCCACCTTCGGCAACATGTGCAGTGACAGTGCAATGGTACTTCTAATCACAGTGCAATAGTACTTCCATTGCAATGTGCGCTGCGCGCCACGCGCGCCGTGCATTGGTAGGAATAATTCAATGACATGTGATCAACGGTCCATCAATCAGATGACGGGGATTTATTCAGGTGTTGTATAATATGGACTATGTGCGCCAATAAGAGAGGATGCGTTTTTACCACTTTTGAGAGGCCCTTGGACGGGACGCCGCGTGTACGTACTGTACTGGTTCGCGCGAGACGTAGGGGTTTGCACTGTTTGCCATGTTCGCGCGCGAAAGAAGGGGTTTGCCCCGGTGTTTCTGGCAGTAGCTGCAATATGCGCCGCAGCACCTTGTAAACCCTTATACATAAGGTGCTAGATAATGGGTCTCATATTTCTCATCAACTTCATTTACCTGTCTTTAATAATAGACATAATTTCCAGCACCTAAAATACCTATTGCTGGTAGATACGTGCGCTTTATACGACTCCAGTATTCAGTACGCAAGACCTAATTTATCCTGAATGTGCACAAAGCTACATGTATGCACATGAGCGTCAGTTGTCGTTGGCTCACGAATACGTTCAAATTTAACTTGCGATGCTCTCCCAGACTAATCCCCGCCCCCAATAACTTTGGATCATTCAAAATACCCAGTGGATTGTCCGGGAACCAGTCTAGGTCTCCCCAACTCTCCTTTTCTAGCCGTTGAAGGGGTACTTGTGCACGGAGCCCATAGGTTCTTTAACCCTAACCTCACCTAAAGCTACAAAATACTACTGGTAGTAAACTGCAGTATGCAGTACTTCAGCATATAAGTGGGCACAGCACCTATGGTATTTATTTGGCATTTGGTACCTGCATGCATAATTTAATACTCAGTTCTAGATATGTAGTAGACTTATCAACGGTAACAAATATCAATAAATCTGAAAATCGAAGCAAAATCACACCCATTTGGTTTCTGCATTTTTCTCCACTGCATCCCGTGCCCAGTTCTGTCTCATTTTGCCAGAATGCCTCACATATAAGGAAAACCTTCTTCACAAATACTGGGACAACCATTTACCAACTGCAATGCTCAAGTTCAATCGCAAACAGGTTAATTCCTCAGATGATCTTACCTTTTCTCTCTAGTTTCCTGATCGTTGTATCCATTTCTTTGCTCTTGCTTCGGTAGTGGTTCTTCATGTCCTCCATCTCAGAGTTCTTGCGATCAAGAATCTAAATTTAACAGAAATTAACAATTAAATTTTCCCCCTAGTTCCGTCAAACTTTTATGAAACCTCTTTTAGACCCATTTCCATAGAAGCCTTTCTCCTGTCCACAACGAATTTTGGAAAAACAAAGATGCGAAGCCACCGGATTTACTACACAATCACTATATATTAATAAAGTTGGTACATGTAGTCTGTATTTCCGTTACTAAATAAATGAGCATCCCCGAAAGTTATACACCATTGGAAAGCTCGCCTTTTCTGCAAAATATAGAAGAGCAAATATATCACTACTTATAGGCATATAGGATCATTTGCATTTATCCCAAAAGTAACCTAGCGAATTATTATCAAAAGTATACATGGAATAAAGATCGTACTGGTACTAAACACCCCGTGAAATTATTTTGTATGGCTTGCTGTCATTTTGAAGAAAACAACCAATGCAGGTGATTTACAATGATCAATCAAATGACTGCTCGTTGCAAATAAAAATTATATTAAAAAAATGGTGAATCGTGATCAAAAGGTTGTGCATGGTTTTTCAATTTTTTTCTCTCTCTAAAAGTGTAGTATCTACTGCGTTGAAACTTCGACGGGTTAGGTTTTGAACATTCTTCTTTGGATCTTGAGTGGTGTTATTTATTGGAAATAAACAGAATGCATGAAACGCAAATGAGAATTAAAAAAATTGACTTTTTGCGATGACAAGCCACAAGTGTGGCTCTATATACCTTCTGTATAGCTTCATCATGTCGCTGTTGTAACCGTAACTTCTCTTCATGGTGTTGAGCTTCCATCATCTGTTTCCTCATCTCTAACTCCTTCTCATGTTGTCTCCGCATCATTGTTCCTTCTTTGAGCGAACTATTGGCTAAAAGGCAACAAAATGGCGTGTACATGTACAGGGTGAGTCAGAATGATCTGGACCCAAGTTCACCATTTGTTTGGTGGTAAATAGAGTATACAGTGGAACGCCGTTATAACGAACATCGTGGGATCCACAGAAAGTGTTTGTAATAACGATCGTTCGGTATAGCGATTTTGAACCGCCGGTACCCTCTTTAGACCAATAGTGAAGTCACTGAACTGGCATTTTCACATCCCGCCGCTGCACGAGGAGTTGTCACAAAACTTTAGCAACGGGTGGTTTTCCCTTTTATTCCTTGGTTTTGAAGGATTTTGCAGAATTTCTGTGCCATCTCATTTTCAGGTAAACACTTTAGATTTGGAGTCAAATTTTCCTTCTGAAAACATACAATATTGATAGTCATTTAAATGTCTGTGCAGAACTTTACCTCGAAAAGATGTCTTTGTTGGAGACATGCCACTGGAGTCATACGCAAACATCTCTTCATTGGCATCTCTCTAAAAGTTAAAAGTATCCAGATTTTTTTTTATAAATCTTTCATCATCTGATCAGCTTCACACAGTACAAAACACATCGCTGGTATGGTAATTTCTCCATGATTTGTGTTCTACATGTACTTCCTAATAGTAATACTCTAATAAAAGCTCAAATCTCAAATCTCGGAAGTTGCTCAGTGTTCAGATTGTTCATACACTATGTAAAGGGCCCACGACATATACTACCAAATCCGTGGGTCAATACAGCAAGATACACGTGTTCACAGTGAACATGGTGAACTTTATAACTCCCGAGCATGATTTAATAGGAACCATACCAATCCTGGCAAATTCCAACACCATATGGGCAACTGCACACACATATTTCTGACTATGATTCTGGAGGTGTGCCAACCAAATGTAAAAGACTGTCAGTTTAGGGGTACTGTACCCATCCTGACAGATTCCAACAAAACATGGCATTGGGGTTTGATGGGTTGAGTTCTGTTATGGTTAAGGTGTAAACTGCAATTATCGTGATTGTCATAAACATGAAATATGTTTTGTTTCCCATGAAGCCTGGTTTTCATTTGAAAATTGCCCACAAAAGACATTCAAAACCTTTCTTTTACATTGTCCAAGAGGTTTGTTTGTACAAGAAGTGACACACCAGAATCAGGTGTGAACCTTTTTCCCCCAAGAAAAATTTGACGCATAAAAGAAAGTGTACACACAAATGACACCAACAACCATGCCAATATCTGCTACTTAAAGCCAGAGTCCATCATTTGCAGCTATCCGAAAAGTAACTGGCGTAATTATTGTTGAAAAACATACTTGGTTGAAAGAAAGTAAGGGGACTATTACTCCCTGTAAAATTATTCTTTCTGGCAAGCTGTCATTTTGAAGAAATCAACAAAAGAAGGCCTTTCCAACGGTGCTTCTTAAGAAGCACCGTAGGAAATTCAAATTAGTATTTCGTTTTGTTATTTGGCGAAGCGCGCAAGCATTGGCACGACGCACACGCGGGCGCGGTTGCTATAATACGCGATGTCGCGCAGCTACAATCGGCTTAGTGAGAACATGTATCGGACGCTGAATTCAAGCCCAATTCAAAACATGATTCAGCAACTTTTGATTTGAATCGAGATCCTAGAATGTTGTTTTTCTCAAAATATACAGCTAAAGCTGAGCTGAAATTTCATCAGGTTAGTTGTTCAGCACCCTTCTTTAGATCTTGAGCACTTTTGTTGCTTCAAACCAACAAAATGCACAAATTACAAATGATGGACTATACCTTTAAAAAAAGCCTTAAAATCTTGTTCTTGAAGGACTTACCAGGGTTATGATTATTGAATGAATGCTGAGAGTATGAGTATTGATGTCTTACCCGTGTCTTGTCTACATGACTGTGGTAGTCCTTGTCTCCAGCTGCAGTTGCTGACACTACACCATTCTCGGTTCGGCTTCTCCTGCATTCAAACACATCCGATTATCATTTACTATAATGTCAACACATGTACATGTATGTTGATTTCATCCAATATACGTTCATGTATTCATTGTTTCTGATGTTATTTACATGCGCATATGAACATGATGATCTCACATAATTTTGGACAGTCAGTTGTAGACCAATATGAATAGTCAGCTGCGATTACTGTATTTTGCAATATAACTATGACTGCGGCATACTCGCACGCTGTGTAGCAAAGACATGAGGACTTTGCACTCACTGTTTCAAAGTTGGATCTTTTAAAGAGGTTGTGGAATGCTCGAAGACATTTCCGTCATTTTTCGGGTATATGTAGCCTAAGGTGTGATGAAATAAAAACGACTATTGTGTCTGTCATGAAATGAGTACAAAAGGTACTTTTGAGAGCTGTTTTTCTGGTCCTGTTTCGACCCGAACGTGCAATTTGTGTAAAAGTCGTCGTTGGGGGCAGCAAACAAAACATAGTAAATCGTGACGTAATAAACAGGACTCGTTTATACTACGCTGCATCGGGAGTCCTGTTTATTACGTCACGATTTACTATGTTTTGTTTGCTGCCCCCAACGACGACTTTCACACAAATTGCACGTTCGGGTCAAAAGTACCTTTTGTACTCATTTCATGACAGACACAATAGTCGTTTTTATTTCATCACACCTTAGGCTACATATACCCGACAAATGACGGAAATGTCTTCGAGCATTCCACAACCTCTTCAACTTTTACTGGAGCATTTGTCGACAGCCCAGCTTCCCCCTGAGTGTCCCTTCTCACTGGCTATTGCAATTTTGGGAAACTAGGACAGAAATTCCCCTATCTTTGTGGAGTTCTATGAACTCCATCAGCTTGGTACAACCATGACAACTGTGACCTAAATAGTTGCACGCCCTCAGCCTTCCAGCACTGTCAGTGAATTTAACTATGGATTCTGTGCATGAACAGTAGCAGTTTGTGACTATACTGGTGAGAGTTCATGTGCAGGACACATTGCATGTGCACACTGGTTTGCGTGTATGGTGCAAGGTACATGTGCCGGTACATGTATACACCACTCAATTTAATTCTGAACTACCGGTAAGGGGGGGGGGGGGGTGCATTTTGCGGGTAGTACGTGAATTGGGTTGGGTACCCGATCGGAAAAAAAACATGGGTACCTGGGTACCTGATAAAGAAAACCAACTCCAAAATTTAAATCTCTGAAGTTGCTGTACAGATCGTTCATAAAGGTCCGCACGATAAAACTACCGCATCAGTGCATCAATATAGCAATACAGTGAGCTATATGCATGTACATGTAGCTTAAAGGTAAATTGCATTTTTGCAAGCGCCATCAACGTGACTCAATTTTGTTTTTCCATGCGGCCTGATTTTCATTCATTCATTCAAAACCTTTCCTTTTCATTGTCTGAGAAGTTACTAAGTAATATGTAAAGTTGGTTACGGGTACTCAATTCCATAATCAGGCATGCAACTGGGAAGTCACAAAAAAAGAGGAAATTCAAATCTTTCCAAGACTTTGTACAGTGTTTTTCTATTGTCAATGGCACACATGGGAATTAAAAAAAGAGGAAATCAGCTGATCCGAGGAAAAGTTGCATGCCTGCATAATGTGGAAGCAGTTCCTGACATCAGCGGTCAGTTACCATGGTTACTCGATTAACCGGTTCTGATGCACAGCCCTCTTCTGAATGTGCACAAACTCGTAGCATCATCGCGTGAGCATCGGGTGTATGGTGACAATGCAATCAAGTTCCGCCTAACTCTCTTTTTGTACCGTTTTGGGTAACTGACCTATCGCCGTTTGCGAGTTAGCCACGCCCCTTAGGCCAAAAAATAATAGTTCTGCTTCCGGTTTCCCTTCTTACCCTATTCTGACAGCCCCTACCCTAATTTTTTTTATGGGAAAATGAGAAAAAAAAACCCCAAAACCATCAATTTTTACCTTTTACCCTTGACTGCACGTGGACGCCTCCATATGATCGTACATAAAAAAAAATGCCCCCCCCCCCCCAAAAAAATCCCTACTTACCTACCCTATTTTCGAATGCCATGTAATCGGAAGCAGAACTATTTTTTTGGCCTTAGACAACCCTAAGTTTTGTTTGTCTCAGGATTTGCGCATTCCGCGTCCATTTAATTTTTGTATATCATGTAATTGGACAATATTTCACAAGCTGCGTTGACGCGATTCTACTGCGGTTCTACCGCGATAGGTCAACTGCCCAGGGAGTTCGTAGACAAAAACATTACAGAAACGACAACACGATTCCCAAAATGACGCTCACCTGTGGGTCCAGGAGCCAGTAGTGCCATGATATCTCTCCTGTAATGTTGAGGTCGCAGTGGGCTGAGTGACAGAGCTGGAACTGTTATCACTGAGTTCACCATAGACCCAGTCGGGTAGAGATTTCGCACCGCTCTCAGCACTCGCAGGGAATGAAACGTGCCCGGGCTCATCAAAGTAAATGGACTGACAAGCAGAAAAATTGATTAAACTTACAATTATTTATATAATAGAATACGAGAGGACAGTAATGGGGATCAACGTGCAGTAAGCAGTAGTTGATGAACAATTATAAAAGGAATGCTTTTGTCACAGATTATGCGAACACTGTGTAACTTAAAGCCCGAGTCCATCATTTGCAGCTATCCAAAAATGTAACCGGCATAATTATTGTTGAAAAACATACTGGTTGAAAGATAGTAAGGGGACTAAACTCCCTGTGAAATGATCCTTTCTGGCAAGCTCTCATTTTGAAGAAATCAACGAAAGAAGGCATTTCCAACGGTGCTTCTTAAGAAGCACCGTAGGAAAATTTAAATTAGTTGTTCGTTTTGTTATTTGGCGCAGCGTGCACAAGCATTGGAACGACGCACAGGCGCGCGCGGTTGCTATAATTCGTTGGATCAGTGCGCAACATCGCGTAAAGCTGCAATTCAAAACAATTTGAAACATGATTTAGCAACTTTTGATTTTAAATTGAGATCCTAGAATGCTGTTTTTCTCAGAATATGAAGCTGAAGCTGAGCTGAAACTTCATCAAGTAAGTTGTTCAGTATCCTTCTTTAGATTTTGAACACTTTTGTTGCTTCAAACGAACAAAATGCACTAATTACAAATGATGGACTATAGCTTTAACTTGCGACTAGATGACTTGTGGTCAGCTTGTGATGGACTTGTGAGGATTTATTGTGAGGGACTCAATTGCTATACCAGTAACAGGGCGATTGTGTACACTTAATTTACAGAGAACAAAAAACAACTTTTAGGTTATTGGACTTACCAAACTCGTTAGTGACATTTAAAACCAACAGGAGTGTCATGGATAGGGGGCAGGGTTTTGATTTTTTTTGAGGGAAGTTTTGAGGTAATAATGAGGACGACAAAACACAACATGAAAATAGCGATGGCATCACTGCGACGCACCATGAACGTACAAAACCATGTTGATTCGCATGGCATCAGCTGTAAAATTCATCAGAAAATCGCATATTCTATAGAAAGATACTGTTCAAAACTAGAGGAAAAAAACAGTGTCACTGGAAGTACATGTAAGACAAGTCTGCTTTAGGTTGCTGAAGCCATTTTGGAAGCACTCTTGACCATGTTGACTTTAAATTGACCAAATCTAAAGAGGGGCTTGTATTAAAGTACAGTACACAATCGATGGTAACAGGCATGCAACTGGGAAGTTACAAAAAAGAGAGGAGATTCCTACAAAAAAAGAGAGGGGATTCCAAGCTTTACAAGACTGTATACATGTACATTATTTTTAATAAGGGAATAAATGTGTGCTCCGGAGGTTTTAATCACTCTGTTTAAGACCGCTTAGAGTCTGGGTGCTGATAATTACCCGAGCCGGAGGCGAGGGTAATTATCAGCACCCAGACTCTAAGCGGTCTTAAACAGAGTGATAAATACCGACCAAGCACACATTTATTCCCATTCATAAATACCTCTTCGGTAAAAAAAATCAAATGATTCGTTCAAAAATCCCGGTTTTGTTCAACAAGTTCACTTCATGCTTTTTGAAACATCCCTCTAGCAAAATAATGGAGTGTTCAGCTGGCGGGTAAGATGTAAACAACCCTATTATGGAGATTGACGCGCGCGTAGCATGTTCTGCGCGATGTCGCGCAGAACGCACCTGGGGCGTTGCGTTTTGAATTTAGAACTATAAAATTCTGACTCGCTGGTAGTGTTGCGCACGCCTACGTGAGGATTGTGAACGTTCAACCAATGAAATGGTAAGAGGCACTAGATTTTTAGGAGTCCACATTTTATGTGACACTGGAACAGTATTTAAGACCAGCTAGCCATGTCTTTATCATCCGTTTAAGACCGGCCACGTGACGGGCTCTTGACCAATAGGAATAGCTAAACTGTCTGAGGTATTTATGAATTTGTTTTAATGGCATATTTGTGAAGCAGAGAAAAAGCTGCATGCCCTGTTGTAAATGGTACGGCAGCTAACAACATGAACAATGAAGTCATTGCCAGTGATCTCCATGTGTGCAACTTGTATGCACATCCCCATCATGAAACAGTGCTTATAATGTAAATGATTAGCATCATTTTCTGCTGCAGTTGAAATTATTCTACTAAGTGTTAAACTGTACATAGGATCATTTGTTGTTGTTTTTTTCGTTTTTTTTTCATTTGAAGTAACAAAATTTCCCCAAATCTTAAGTAGGGTGCATGACAACTGCTCTGTTGAAGTTTCAGCTCAGTGGATACCATAATTTTTTTATTTTTTTTTGAGGGGGGGGTCCTTGTTCAAACACAATTCCATTGATAACACACGATAAAAAAGTGTGCCTGCGGCACATTTTTAAAAATTGCCTTCTGTTATTGTTTTCTTTGAAACGATACCATTTCAGCATGTTCAGGCGGAATAACTTCATAGGGTATTTGGTTCTCTCCTTATCTTCACTCTGAGCAAGGTTTGTTGGTCTCAGTAAATCGGTAGGGCTGTTTCCGAGTAATTTACAATGTTCCTATTGCCTTTGAGCAATGCCACAAAAGTGCCTATACAGGGTGAGTAAAAAAACCGAAACCCAAATGTCGGGACCATTGTTTTACTGAAGTTCTGCATGTAGCACTTTCAAAATCTAGGATATGAAAGCTCAATTCACACACATCCGTATGCGATTTATTTTCATTTTGCTGAAAGAACACTCAACTTTTTGGTGATCCAGGGACAGAACCTTAAAACAGCGGTTGTGTTTAAAATTCCGTAACTTGAGAAGTATATGAGTGATTTGAATGATTCTTGTACTAAAAGAAAGCTTATGAATTGGACTTTCATATCCTAGATTTTGAAATTGCTACATGCAGAACTTTACTAGAACAATGGTCCTGACTTTTTTGTTTCGTTTTTTTATTACTCACCCTGTAGCTTACATACAGGTTTATGGACTAAATGTCTGTCTTACCATATGGGCAGGTAATGTAGCCAGTGGTCCGGGTTGCGGTTTATGGGCAAATGGGCCCTCTACGAGACCCTTCTGCAGCATGTGAAGCAACAGACTGGCATACGAGTTCCTGTTCTTCCTGTTTTTAAAAAGTAACAATATATATCACGCTCATCAAAGTCTTTTCTTCATGATCATGTTCGAACACATCATTAACTTTAACAAAAATAACTGCCAGATTGTGTTCAATTGTTGTATGCGTACATGATATTTGTTGCATGTTTTACTAATTACTTGGTCTATTTCGCTCTGTGCAACGAAATTACCAAAATGAAAAGAATGCCCTACATGTACATAGAATTTGTACAGTATGCACACGTGGTGTCCCGTCCATGGGGCTCTTAAAGGGAAAATACAACATTTGCAAACATCAAAAAATAAAACTACCAAATCAGTTTGAAATACCTTGCTGGACTGTTAGTGAATGACAGTGTAAAGCATCCTGTAAAATCATGGCACCTGGTATACTGTCATTTTCAAGAAAAGTGGTATTTTCGTATCAATTTCCAATGCTGGTTGGCCGACCAGCGATTTTTTTCAAATACTGGCCCCAATTGACCATCGCACTTGTTTGCAATCGATTACACACCTACATGTATGAACGGGTACACGCCAGCTAGACTGGTTCCCTGACCTTACAATTCCCCAACGTATGTAAACTGCTCTGTTTCTTCTTATATGGAGTCAGGGAACCAGACTACAGGAAAATGATTGTGTTTCTTGGTTTTTATAGCATTTTCGAACCCAAAACCTCGAAAAAGTCAGTGTAACTATATTTGCTATATATTTCCAACCCCCCAATTCCATCCATTTCTGAAAATTACAGCAAAAGCAAATGATGTATATTCCCTTTAAAAGTAGTAAAAATTCTCTTTTTTTTGGTTGGCGCACAGAGCCCATAGGCTGGCCTTCTGAGACCAGCAAAAAGTGTGTATGATCCTGACTGGGGGGGCATGTTCATGTCTGCCTGGCAGGTTTACCTTGCAGTGGGCCCAGAGCCTGGTGGTTCACAAAGCTTCTTAATCCAATTTGCACATCTCTGTCTCTCTGTAATGAGATAAATACGTCACCAAAAACTTGGTTTGTTAGTTCAGAAAGCCTTGAACAAGATCTCTTAAATTAGGGATTTTGTACAGGTAAAACATAATTTGTAAGAGTCTTGTTTGTGGAGTGCCATGGCCTCGTGGTCCAGGAGCATTTAATTTGTGGTCAGCGTGTAATTCTGCAGATTGTGGGTTCGAGTCCAGCCAGGGGTTATGGTGCGCGTGCTCTTGGGCAAGGCACTTTGTCACTCATTGCTTTCTCTCCACCCAGGAGTAGATGGGTACCTGTGAGGGCATAGATGGTTATAGTGGTTGAGTTTAGCTGCTTTGTGCCAAAATGGCAGCATCGAGCTGTACATGTATACTCCCAGGGAGCTGAGATTGTCTTTGGAATGTTGCATTGGCAAAATGAGCAGGGTAATTATTATGATAGCGCCTTGAGCATCAATATACTGGTGGATACGTGCGCTTTATAATAAAACACATTATTATTATCATTATTATTGGCTATCCCTAATTGTTTGCCCTATGTAGTCCGAAAATTTGGGACTCTCAATACTGTGTGTGAGAGTCCCAAAACTTAAAGTATTGAAAACATGCAATACAAGAGAATAGACTGGCACCAGAAACAACCAGTCCAACACCGCTTTAGTACTGCATCAATCAACCATGCCGAAAGAATTTAAGAAAAATGTGGCATGAACCGGGGACAAGTCTCAATTTGACTAAAATATGCATCTATTGCGACTAGTTATTAATATCATTCAGGTTTTTGCAAACTAAAACCAAATCAGTCGATCATCAATCAACATGAACACATCCGTCAGGTAACTAGGTACATGTACATGAATGTACCACACCAATGTTACAAAGTCATAGCAATGCGGCATACCTGGACAATGACAAACAGTGATCACTATGGTTCATTTGATAAAAGCTTTTTCAAAGAGAAAACGAAATGGTACCCGATTTAGGAGAGAGGCGCAAAACATGAGGCTTCATTTTCACCAGACACTGGTCAAACTCATCGTCCAACTCTTCATTTGTTTCCATTCTTCCTTGCAACTGATTAAAAACAAAGAACAAAGATGAAAGGATACATATATACATGTACAATGGAAAAAATGTTGCAACCTGACGTCACTTTTTCCTTCATATATCATCTCAATGAAGTTCATTCATTGCACAAATTATGATAAGACATGAATCTGGAACTGAGAAACATTTCAAATTTTGTTAGGAACTCTCCATAGTCGACTTTATACACAATCGCGGCAGTGGCATCAGGTTGCAACATTTTTCACCATACATTGCCGGGTCCACTCTATAGTCCGAAGGTTTATTGATCCAAAGGTTTGACTGTCCGAACACACAAATTTCCAATACTTTGGGGTTAAAAGTCTAAAAAGGAACTAAGGTTCATTAATCCGAGCATTTGAAGCGATAGTCCGAATGTTCGTTGGCCCGAAGGTTTGATAATCCTAAGGTTCACTATAAATAAGATTAGAATAGATTCAATAGTCTGAATTTAGAATAAGGTCCATATAAGTCCAACATTTTGTCCGAAGGTGCAATATAAATTACAGGTAGTCCGAAAAAAGAAGAAGTTTCAATTGTGCGAAGGCTCATTAATCCAAAAGCACACAAATAAGTGACAAGGTTCAATGGACAAAATGGACAACAAGGTTCAATGTTGTCAATATTTTATTAAAAATTGGCAATGGATATTTAGCCGGAGACGGCAAACCTTTAGTAAACATTAGCTTGCCGGATATGCACTGAACATGCGCAGTTACTGTTTTTTTGTACTTTAACAAATAGACATTTTCCGGTGACAAATTTTAGTCTGGCCCCATGCCAACAATATCTTTGTAACTTCATATTCACAAGATGGGAATCAAAGTTGTCAAACCGTTTTTTTTATTAACCCCCTAGGCCCTTGTTGCTTACAACCATCCTCAATCCTCCAAAATCCTCCAAAATTTTTCAACTCCGCCTAAATTTTTCAAAATTGTCAGACAGTCTTGCCTCAAAATGCATTCATCCTCAATCCTCCAAAATTCTCCTCATCCCAAAACTTTTCACTCGTGTTTAAATGAAGGATAACCAACGCCAAATCCTTCAAAATCATCAGACAGTGCTGCCTTAAAATGCATTCATCCTCAATCCTCCAAAATCCTCTTGTGCTTCATTCACCATTCATCCTCAATCCTCCAAAATCCTCATGTGCTTCAATCACCATTCATCCTCAATCCTCCAGAATCCTCATTTGATTCAATCACCATTCATCCTCAATCCTCTAGAATCCTCCAAAACCGCCAGGAGGATTTTGGAGGAGTGAGGTGGGTTAGGGTTAAAAAAAATCCTCCAGAGCCACAAATTTGAAAAAAAAAATGTAATACTCTGCAATAAAATGTTTGAGACATGTTAAAATAATAATAAATGAAGAATATTCTTATCTTTTGGGGATGGGGGTAAAAAAAACTTAAAAATTTCGCCAGTGGAGATTGAACCCGGATCTTCCAGCTCATGAGATCCGTTGCTTATCCACTAGTAGTTTTGACTAGGCCACAGGTGCTACACAACCGTTGGTGGTAATTTAATATATCTTATAATTCAGCCCTATCTAAGAGAGTACAGCGCCCTCTGTTGATAGGGATTGCCACCGGCAATATAGCTGTTGTGCACTTTCTTGTGATTTGCGAAATCATAAGAATGCGCGTGCACATTCTCATGATTGCGCAACCTGATCCTTGTGCAATCTTCGTAAAAAAAAACTCTTCCAGATTGAGCGCACATTCTTAAGAATGCACGACAAGATAACGGTCTTGTTGCTGCTGAGAACCGGCTGCGCTTGGCAAGTCTAGCTGCATCCTCGTTCACTAATTCTTAACAATTACATGTATACTGTTGCAACGCAAGGTCACTTACCTAGGAAAAGATTTAACGATGAAAAGTAGAGTGGATATGAAAGTATACACGTATTCGGGGGACCGGGAAAAATATAGTGTAGTGGAAAGAATTCTGATTTTTGGGATAACAAAAAGGGGGGCGTAAGAATGAAGAATGTGAAGAACGAGAATGAATACTGTGACATATCCCACAGCGCTAATGCTATTTGCCACTTAAATTGCTATTGTTCACAGCCCCACCATTACGCCGCAGAACTGGATTTTATCTAGTCAAAAGAGCAATTTTGGCAGCTTCTGGACATCGTTTTTTTCGTGACATGCATATGATACATACAGGGACTTGTAACTTGTCTAGCCTCAACAAAGCACTTCCCAGTCTAGTTCCCAGTCCTCCGTTATTACAAAACTTCCCGTAGTGGGCAGAAAAAAAGCAATAATAACAGATTTAATTTGATTCAAATTATTGTAGTTATACGAGTACAGGAAGAAGCATAGATAATTTTCTTTTCTCGTTATATGAATTATTTCCTCTTTAACCGCTATACATTTCATTTAACATAATTATGCCGTGCAATGTTTGTTAAGATTGCGCACATTTCATAAATTGCGCACGTGATATTCCCACGCAATCTTAAGAATGAGCGCTCATTCTTGAGATTGCATGCTCATTCTTGAGAATGCGCGCTCGTTCTTAAGAATACGCGCTCATTCTTAAGATTGCCTGATTTGCAAGAAAGCGCACAACATATCCACTACCGGGCACTAGCATGACTAGGCCTAGCCCAAATTATTGGACTTGCAAAGGCCAATGCAATGCCAATGACTTGTGGAACCGATTCGGACTATCAAACTTCATCGTCTTTTCAGAGAGTTTAACTTTCGGATTATTGAACCAAACTGTATTTTTGGACTAATGAACACTTCTGACCCACAACTTCAGTAAACACAAGCTAAAATAACCGTCCACTTACATAATTTCGTTCCCCCAAATTCTCTGCCTTTCTTATTTTCAAAGCAACCGGTCTTTTTGTTGATCTGTCTGGTTCCCTGCCTACGCAATATGTTTCGAGACAGTAGATTAGACTGGTTCTCGCCTGAAAGTTTTACTTTTTTCCAGATGCCCCGCTTCTCCGTTATCAAGTTGGAGATCAATGCAGCACTACATTACGCCTCGATTAGAGACCATCCCATACCGGGGGAGGGGCGAGATATGAGGGGAGGAGGACACGGGACATGCTTCCCTTTTTGTTCCATATTTTCTTATAATAATTTGCTCATTGTATTTTTATCCTTAAAATAATCATTTAATTTTGCTCTAAAAGAATAGAGGGTGTTCCTTGCTCTATGATTCGACGCTTTAAACTCCACACAGTGCAAGAAAAAGTTTGCAAATATCCCTGGTATCCGGCTAATGGATCAGGTGATACTGCTTACATACGAGCGATTACCAGCCAATTTAAAACACGGAAATGCAAAATGAAATGGGCAAAGTGCATCAATCGACATTTAGGCACCTGCACCGCACTCGCACAGGCAGCAACAGCTATCTAGTCTCGTAAGTTTTATCTAGCTGAGCTCTGAGGCGTGGTCGTCGACACTTTTTTGTCCGATTTCAAAGTAATCTTGTCAGAATATTCGTCATTTTTCTGCTGTAGCTGGTGAGTATGATTAAAAGTTCAGGTTTTGATTTACAGAGAGTAGCCTATGACTATGATCATGATGATGGAGATAATCATTTAAATTTTGGAGACCGATTCCAATTTCCTGTTGTGTGTTTTTTTTAGTGCATAGGCCTACTTGTACAGAACAATTTGACATATACTGAAACTGAAAGGCACACAGGCCCTTCTAATTTTAGACGTACGGGTACATAACATGATGTACTACTACTAGTACTTAGTACTACTTTATTCCTCATTTGTTGGCACATTTTTGTTGCATTTCTCAACTTGGCATATTTCGACTTTTCCCACATGTCCCACGAGTGTTGCCAATGCAAGCCTCTTTACTCCAACCATGGAGGAATAACATCAATAAGAACACATTCCTCCATGCTCCAACAGTGCATTGTCCAAAGGCAATAGGCCTAGGCTACGATCAGTTTTGTACAGGGTTGTAAGTGTTAATTGTTTCCTTACATGGTGTTAACATGTAATTAAGGAGCAACTATAGAATGCAGGGCCACGCCGAAGCAAGGTTTTTTATTTTGCCTGGAGGCGTGGATGGAATAGGAGTAATAGATATGCAAACCTGCAAAAAAGTGCTAAGTACAGCGAAGGAATGCACTGCACTTGTCTTCTAAGCTTCTCATGAAGGATCGGAAGGGAGGGCGTGCTTGTAAATGTTTTGGGGGCACTGTCTGGAGCGGCGGAGGCGCGGAGTCTTGGAGTCGCAGAATCGCGGAGACGCGGGGCACTGGAGTGGCTAGTGGGGGAGGCGCGGAGTCGCGGAGTCGCAGAATCTAGTCGCGGAGACGCGGGGCACTGGAGTGGCGGAGGCGCGGAGTCGCGGAGTCGCAGAGACTCGCGCCGATAGAGGGCGCAATTCTCGGCGGAATTTTTTTGAGAACGAAGCATCCATATCCATTTTAAATGGGCGGGCCAATTAGGAAGGGAGGAGGGCGACAGGGCACTGTCTGGAGCGGCGGAGGCGCGGAGTCTTGGAGTCGCAGAATCGCTTTAAATGGGCGGGCCAATTAGGAAGGGAGGAGGGCGACGGGGCACTGTCTGGAGCGGCGGAGGCGCGGAGTCTTGGAGTCGCAGAATCGCTTTAAATGGGCGGGCCAATTAGGAAGGGAGGAGGGCGACGGGGCACTGTCTGGAGCGGCGGAGGCGCGGAGTCGCAGAATCGCGGGGCACTATACACTGGAGTGCTAGTGGCGGAGTCGCAGAGATGCGCACCGATAGAGGGCGCAATTCTCTGCGTGACGCGGGGCACTATACACTGGTGGCGGAGGCGCGGAGTCGCGGAGTCGCAGAGACGCGCACCGATAGAGGGCGCAATTCTCTGCATGACGCGGGGCACTATACACTGGTGGCGGAGGCGCGGAGTCGCGGAGTAACAGAGACACGCACCGATAGAGGGCGCAATTCTCTGCGTGACGCGGGGCACTATACACTGGTGGCGGAGGCGCGGAGTCGCGGAGTCGGAGAGACGCGCGCCGATAGAGGGCGCAATTCTCTGCGGCTCCACGACTCCACGATCGATTTTCGGAGGTAGGTCGACTGCGGTTCCACGCCTCCACGCAGCCGTACGGAGGCGCGGATGTAGAGTAAAGTGGCCTTGCATTCTATAGTTGTACCGTAATTAAATAAATTACAATGGAAATCATGAGCACAATTATTAGGGATCATCACAATCATGAAATTTTACTTTCCGGACGGAAGTAAAAATATAACGGGGGTTCACATTTCAAATGGGACGTAGGGTAAGTTGCTTTTTGCTGACCTACTGTAACTTAATGTGTAATGATTACTTTGAATTGACAAATTATGTTAACTCACCCCACTGCCACTAGCTATGAAAAAAAATAGTATGGATTTGGTTTTAATTTGCAATTTTTTTAAAGATATTTTTAAATTTTTAATTGCTTTTTTTATTTTATTTATTTGTTTATTTATTATTATTGTTTTTATTTATTTATTTATTTAATTTTTTTTTGGGGGGGGCCCTTTAATATGGAAGTGGCTACCGAACTCGCCTGGTACTGGGCCCCGATTTCGGAGGGCTATACGCAACCGGCAGCAATAATGCTCAATGCATCAGATCTTGATGTCATTTGGTTAAGGGGAAGAATTAGAATTCCATGTATGGACATCACTAATTTTTCCCTGCAGTGACCTATCAGCCATCACAAAGCGATAACATGTCCTAAAAAGTCATATTTTCCGGGGAAAATGTTGAAGCATTTACTGAGAAAACATGTAAAAATGTTCAGACCAGTCTCAAAGGGTTTGTGCAGATGGGACCTTCAGTGCTGATAAACATGCAAAACAAAATTAAGCCAACTTTACTCACTCTGTATATAGCCAGCAAAATTCTCCAAAATTTTCATTGGGCAAAGAAAAGGTCCTCAGTATTTCACCAACCACGTTTGCAGACGCAATTCAATTTTCAAAGGAGACTTTTCTTTAATATTTTGCACATGAGAAGTGTGTCAAGTGATTTCAAAATGAGGCTAAAGAGACTACATGTAGATAGGCCTACATGTACATGTCCGACCATGGGCCAACTATTTGAAAAGACTGACCTCTTCATTCAGTGTCATTAGTTAAGGAATTAACAAAACCACCGAAAGTTCCAAGTTTTTTGTTTCATCAGGGAATTATGTAAATATAATACGTGACGGAACTGGGCAGAGGTGGAAATGAGGGTTTGCGGGTATTAGGAAAGAGAATAAAATACGCCTCAGTACTATTCTGTTTGTTGCACTTCAATCTGACATTCTGTTGACAAGTTATGTGGCTGTTTAAAGTTTGCATTTATCCATGTTAGGCCAAAAAAAAAATAAGTCGGTCTCTGGTCAGCGCGCGCGTCGATTTTAATCATGTGCGTCGATCTTTTTTTTTCCAAAATGCTCCGCGGTAGCTCCAACAGCGCCCTCTATTTCCACACCTCCTCAATTTGTTTTACCAAAGAGCACCAAGGAATGGGAAATTGCACCAAGGCAAATGATCGAGAGCACCAAGGCAAATTATGGAGGACACCAATGTACATGAGGATACCAAAAAAGCAAAATAGTACCCCACCTTGTCTGTACAATCCAAGCTTGAAAAAAAAAAAAAAGCCGCATCGCCGCGTCAATTCCGGAACTTTGGTCTGACCAGAGACTGAATATTTTTTTTTTTTGGCCTTATCAAAATGTCAAAAAAGTACAACACTGAGCATTAACAAGGCCATGAAAGTTTTGAGTTTGGCTTTCAAGAAAATGCCAATCTTTCCCTTTCCCCACCCAAACCCCAACTTTTATTCCACTATTTTATACTATTTCTCTAAAATGTGAAGTAGACATATCAAAAATTGCAAGTGTCAATAAATCAGAAAAATCGAGAAAAAACATTTCCCCAATTTAATTTGTTGCGTTGTTTTTCTACTATGGTCTGTGCCCAGTTCTGTCTCATTTTGCCAGACTGCCGCACAACACAGGTGCTAAATGGGTTAATTCTTTTCGTAATCCTTACTTTTAGGACACCTCTATTTTGTATGAGTTCTGTTCAAAACTGACTTTTGCAGATGACTGTCCAGTACCAAAGTGACTTTTGCAGGCTAAAGAAGTCTTTTTCCTTCAGACAAACTCATGTTAGTTAGAATTTTGAAAGCACTTTCAAAGAAAATGTGACTTTCCTACATTTTTTTGCAGTTCGCCATCTTGGTTTTTTAATATATTTTCTGTTTGCCATCGTCGTCTTTAACCCCTCATAAATCAAAGCCCTGCCCTCTTTCTACAAAATTAAACCTACTGATATTCAAGAGGTGTCATTGCCAAATGTTCAAATGTGCCAAGAAATATCAGAATGTCACTTTTGAGTGTCATTTAGTCAGTTGTTTTGGTGAGTCTTTTTAACCTTATAGGAAAGGGGTCCTAAAGGTAAGGATTACCATTCTTTTTCTCTCCAGAAGTCAGAGTAAAGTAAGGATGGCAGATGAACCAGAAGCCGTGCCAGCTCAGGGGGATGAGGTTGATGATGCGGCTGCCCTTACCCCCGGCTACAAAGCGCCCGAATTCAAGAGCGTGCAGGCGATTCAAGAGCTGGACGCCGATGACGAAAGCCTGGTCAAGTACAAGAAAGCTCTACTTGCTGGCGCTGAAAATGTTCTAGGTACTGTGCAAATTTATACAAAACACAAAACACACCAAAAAACACCAACAAATTGGGAAGAGCTGATCTCGGCAGAATTTCATTCAGCTTTTTAGCAAGGTTGACATAAGAGACTTTGGATGAATGAGGTAAACTCTAAAATTCCCAACTATTGTGTGCGCCATGTCTAAAAATGTTTTGTGAAGCGTTCACTTTTCTCACTCAACAGAACCTATCAGGCGTGCAACTTTTCCTCGGATCAGCTGATTTCCTCTTTTTTTACCTCCCATGTGTGCCATTGAAAATAGAAAAACACTGTACAAAGTCTGGGAACAATTTGAATGTCCTCTTTTTTTTGTGATTTCCCAGTTGCATGCCTGACCTATGTCCATTCCACAAAACACTGTATTTGTGGTTGTCTCATACATACATACATGTACCTTCCATGTACAAAATTGTGAAGTGACTGCATACTTCAGTACAAACATGACAAAGGGCAAAAGAAATGATAAATCTCTTCTTTTTGTTAGAACCAGGAAGTTAATATCATAGAAGTTCATAGTTCTGCCACAGCACAACAGTTGATATTGGGTGACCGGGGAATAAATATTTCCCTTCATTATTTATCATCAAATAAAAGCGCAATGGGAAACTATATACATTGTACTGTAGCTTTTCCGTCTTTTAGGCCAAGTGAAAAAAAATATGCCTGCTTCCATCTTTCCCTGCTGCCTCCTTTGTAATCATGCATTAGCAAATCTGGTAGAAAAGGTGACGGCTCATTTGGACAAAAAAAGCATCAAGAAAAAGTAAAGAAAACGGAAGAATCCATCTTGGAAAATCTGCCATGTTTGGGGGGGGGGGTGGGAAGGCCATCTCTCATGTCTCTCTTTTGTTCAAAAAGCCTGGTTGAGAAACATTTTTTGTTTTTCACTTGGCCTCATCTGTATTAAGTTGAACAAGGAAGTTGATTCAGACAAGACAGTTTCTTTTCAAATATAAGCTGATCTCGGCTCAATTTGATTGACATGTAGCCTTTGAGATATGGTGGACACAGTAAAAGGGCGCCATTTGTTGGTTTATGTTAACTCTTAATTTAACCCTTACCTAGAAACTACGTTAGGAACCATCCTTTATCCTGCAAAATCCTCCACAATTTTGCACTTGTGTTCAAATGAAGGATACCCAGCGCCTCAATCCTTCAAAATCGTCAGACAGACCCGCCTCAAAAAAATGCATTCATCCTCAATCTTCCAAAATCCTCCTTTTCAAACACCGTTTATCCTCAATCCTACGAAATCCTCTTTTACTTCAACACCATTCATCCTAAATCTTCCAAAATCCTCCAAAACTGCCAAGAGGACTTTCGAGGATTGACACTAAGGAAAAAAGGGGCTTGCTACTTTTTATTGGTACATGTACGTACATGTACATTGTCATGAATGATGTTAAAATAAAAAGGGCATGCTGGCCAACTTGGATGCGAAAAGCGTGTACTTTCAATGGGCACTGCGGCCACTGCAGGAGGGCAAGCGGCCAATGGCCTCGGTGAACATGGTGAATGTCGAGGCCTGGAAGTGGGTTGGGGTTAATTAAGGCACCCGCCCTTGTGTGCGCCATATCTCTGTTGTTTCTGGCACAAAATGGATAAGCAGTTAGGAAAGAAATGCACGTGTGTACTTTTTTTAATGTGTATTTCCTATTTTTGACGTTAAATTTCAGATGAAGGTGGACCAAATGTACTTGTGAAGGCCATGGTATTTGCCCCAGTGAACCATGCGGAAATTCCTCTGGATCTGACAGGTAAAACAAAAACAAAGGGCAATTCCACGGTATCTCAGGTTACATTACGAGGGGGTCGTCTGTCAAATCTGTGCTTATTCTATAAAGTCAAAGTATTTACCGGTAGGGCTGATTTGTCTCACAGAAGATCCGTTGAAATTAAGTGAATTTACTACCAAAAAAATCCAACAAGATCAGTTTGTGTTTGTCTGACAATAATGTTACAAGGAAAGGACATGGTAAAAATGTAAATACCCTGCATTGGAAAGTTTCCTCATACTGTGCCATGATAGAAAATCTATAGTGCCCTTGCATTATTAGGGTGTACATAAGTCGTATGCTACCATATTGAATGCTTCGAGTGGTGTAGTAAAACTAGCCTCCCGAGGTGATCCATGGACATTCTATTTTCCCAAGGCGAAGCTGAGGGAAAATAGAATGGTCCATGGATCACCAAGGGAGGCTAGTTTTACTTTACCACGAGATAAAGCATTCAATATTTGTTTTATAACACTTCACCCACAGATTCTGCTTGATTTTAATATTTTAAATTATTTAAATCTGAACACAGTTGAAATAAACTTCAATTTCACTACAAAATTGGTGGAAAATGTATTTCTCTCTTCCAAACTATTCCTTCACGAAATGTATGAACCCAAGTCTGTGGCGCGCTCTCTTTGGAACACATTACACGCTACGCGCAACGCGCACACCAGCATCCACTTGGACACAAATACCCACGCCGTGGAAATAGTACTTTGGTTGCTAATGGTATAGTACTTTGGTTGCTACGGGTATAGTACTTTTGACCGTGCACAGAAAGATAGCACAATTAGAAAGTATCATGTGACTCGCTCTCAGCCAATCAAGAAACAGAATCTGTGGGTGAGGTGTTATAAATTAGCGTGATAGCTTCTGCCTGCCTGGCATGAGGTCGAGTAAAAAGTAATCCCGCGCCTCGTTCCGTTCTTGCCAAAATAAACCAACTTGGATTGTCACACAATTTTCATCCTCTTTGTTTTGTTCAAAGGTGATCTTTCCAAATTTAAGGGGAAGCCGTTTGTGGTTAAGGAAGGCATCTCCTACAGGATTCAAATCAAATTCAGGGTGAGCTAAGTCTACTTAATACTTTACATTAAGTCAGTAACAACCAGATTGCTTTGGGATTGCCATATTCTTGCTAATGTGCATTGCATGTCGAGGTAAGCTTGAATTTTCTCAAGTCCCTGTGCCAAGACTTTCAAGACTTAATTGCTTTGATTCATCTAATAAGCACCCTCTACTTCCAAGGCGGCTTAAAGCTATAGTCCATCATTTGCAGCTATCCGAAAAGTAGCTGGCGTTATTATTGTTGAAAAACATACTTGGTTGAAAGATAGTAAAGGGACTAAACTTGTGCTAAGACTTTCAACACTTGCTTTGATTCATCTAATAAGCACCCTCTAATTCCAAGGCGGCTTGAGGATATTTAACAAGCCATTTGCGGTTATTTTCCAAGGTGGCTTCGCTGCACTTGCTATGAATTGGCTGCACCCCTCTTGAACTGAGACTGTAGACAATCCGGGAATGCTAACAATTCTATAACGAAGGGCCCCTTCAATAGAACCTGGAAGTTCACCCCTGGTGGCGCATTTCAGGAACCCTTGAAAGGGAACATTTATGTGCATCTAAAATTCATGCGGACTAGCGGAACATTTATGAGATAATTTTGTGGCAGTCATTGGATGAAAACTAAAACTTAAATAGGAGACTTAAATGTCTTTTAGGATATACAATTTTTTTTTAATTAAAAAATATGCCTGCGGTTTGAACAGATTGTAGGACTAAGTAAGCTGGTAAATTTGGCTTGTTGGTGATTCTTGATTTGTTCTTTGCTGTCTTGTTTCTGTAAAGGTCCAACGTGAGATTGTCTCTGGTCTGCGGTATGCTTACACCGTGTACAGAAAGGGCCTCAAAGGTGAGTGAACGTACAATAAAGGATTTAATGTGTGCTTTGCCTGGATTTAAACACTCTGTTTAAGACCGGTTGGAGTCTGGATCCCAATAATTACCCGAGCTGAAGTTGATGTGCCACAGAGCGCAGCTGTGCTGGTGTAGTTTGAATTTAAGACTATGAAATACTGGCTGTGGTAGTATTGGATGTGCATACGTGGGGATTGTGAACGTTCAACAGATAAAACGGTAAAAGAAAACGAATTCCATAAGAGTCAAAATTTGACGATGGAAAAGTGTTTCAGACCAGCCAGCCGGTAAATTATCAACCATTTAACCCTCCGAGCAGCGAAGTGGTGATTTCATTCTCCACATTTTCCAAATATGTTCATATTTTTTTTTTCAATGGGCCAATAAGGCCAAGCTTCCATGTAATCCTCACCCCTACTATACCCCACAAGCCTGTAGACTCCCATTGGCCAGTCCCTACCCACTCCGGAGTAGGGAGTGTTGAAAGACAGAAGCCAAGATGGTGCCCAATGCCTTTGTGCAGTAATGGGAGATCTTAGTGGCCAGTCCCTCAGTGCCGCCGATCCCTTTGTGTCAACCCCTCGTGCCGCCAGGAGCCCAGACAGGTTGTAAACAATCCCTGGCCATGTGAATGACCTATATCTTGTGCATGTACAGGCATGCCAGGGTTATTGACCTATAAACACAGGTGGTGATCAAATTTTCCACGGTGTGATTTTTTTTAGTAAGCTGCTCGAAGGGTTAAGACAGGCCACAGTACGGCTCGCAGCTAAAAGGAATGGGTAAACTGTCATAAGGAATATATGAATTGCCATTCATCATGCACCCAGTGTTGTAAATGATTTTAGACAATCACACCAATCAATAACCCATCCAGTCCCAAGTCAGTTCACAAGCTGGTGAAACGTAGGCATCCTTTTGTATTGTTCATCCTCTATTACTTATGAGCTGCCTTTGAATGCACTTGTGTTTTTGCGAATGGACTTGACTAGAATTCTGTTTGTTCGTTTTGAGAAAAAAAACCAGCTACATAGTTGTTGTTATTCTTGAACAAACATCTGACTCAAACGTTCTTAACCCCCTCTTGATTCCCCCACCCCCCCCCCCCCCCCAAAAAATTTAAAAACCCAATCAACACTGTGATGAGATATGGTGGCCTTAAAAGTTTGCCATTACTCCTTTGATTGAGGAACAATAGGGATGCAAGATCCATGATCACTTCATCTGGGTGGCATGGGTGGCTAGTCGGGCAGGTGGGCGGTCGGTCCGTCGGGCAGGCGAGCTGGCGGTCGGTCGGTTGGTCGGTTTTTCAGTCCAGTCAATCCTTTAAGTCCAGTCAAGCTGGTAAAGCTGGTCAGGTAGGTTGGTCAGGTCATGTACAAGTACATGTAGGTCAGGTCAGTAAAGTCTATACCCGATTTCACGAAGCGCTGCGACGCGACGCAACTCGAGTTACGACGTGTAACAGGTCGCAACTCGCGACGCGTCGTATAATCTATTTCACGAAACATGCGATGAGTTAAACGTGTTGTAAGTTCCTTGACAACGACTTAAAACATGTCGCAAGTTACGACGTGTCTAGCGGTCAGCGCAAAATAAGAAGAGTCCTTTTCTTAGCCAGTTTTATGCCATAAACATTACATAAGCGAGACTATAATACTGAGGCAATGTGTGTAAAGTTGTAAATAGAAAATTCATTGAATAATTATGAATTAGCCTGGAAAATTGCAGTTGAAATTTCAAAGTAGCTATAGACAGTCCACTGAGAGCTTGTTTTCCTTTAAAATCACATCACATGGCCGCCATTTTGTTTTTCGTTTAAACAAATTTCAAGCGGAGATCCGACGACTCTTTGTTGAATTTTAGACGACTTTTTACTGTACGCTGACTAAATACATAAAACAGTCACCGAGTTGTGCTATAAATACACCTACAACGCATCGCACGTACGACGTGTTTTGTGAAATGGATCGCAGGACACGTCGCAGCTGTGACACATCGGAGGGATATGACGCGTCGCAGCGCTGCGATGCATCATAAGTTACGATGAGTTTCATGAAATTGGGTGCTGGTCAGTCAGGTCAGTCAGTCAGTCAGTCAGTCAGAGGACATGTAGATTTTTCCTTCAAATCCTACAAATACAACCTACAACTCCAATCAACCCAAATCAACCCCTTGTTCTTTGCAGTGGACAAGGGCAATCTGATGGTAGGGAGTTACGGACCCCTAACAGACCAACACGTCTTCAAGACTCCTGTGGAGGAGGCACCCTCGGGCATGTTATTGCGTGGCACCTACATAGTCAAGAGTAGATTCACGGACGATGACAAAAACATCTACCTGGAGTGGGATTGGAGTTTTGCCATTAAGAAAGATTGGGAATAGGATTATGGTGACATTTCCTACTAAGAAGTAGTCTATTTGAAGCAAGGTACTTCATGCTCTGGTTTGGTCTTTTTTTGGGGGGGGGATAATCATGGATGTGATATTATTGAATTTATATTATCTTCAGACACTTCCTGAGCCACTATTTCCTTTTCGTCTGGTGTGATTACATGTACAGTGCAAAGCATTATACAAATATAACATGGTTTAAGGGTGGGCAGTCGATATTCGCTCCCCGATGTATTGGAAGTTGGTAAACTACTCGCCTCGGGAATTAGTTTGTCAACTTTCAATACCAAGAAGAGCTAATATCGGCTGTCCACCCGAAATAAACCATGTTATATTTGTTTTACTACATCTCATACATATTCAGCTGCCGATTTTGTTTTCGTTGCAGTATGCATCTAAAACAAAATCTTTGGAGAAACTTGTTGCACGGGTAAACTGTCGCATGGGTAAACTGTCGCATGGGTAACCCTTCGCATGGGTAACCCGTGCGACAGTCTACTACGCATACGTATTTACCCTTTGCGTTAATACTCGCGTGCGCTTGGTAAACAGCAAAAATAACATCTGGCACGTGATGGTGAATTGACCAGTGAGAGTTCGGCTTTCAATCATGAATATGTATGAGGCATAGTAAAATGAGTTGTAAAATGGACAAAACAAAAGAATCTACACATCCATGCATACCCATCCATCTCTCTGTCGTGCCACGCTGCTTGTTCCAGATGCACACGTCATTCATATGTGCGTGCATGTTGGACATTGATTATGGCTGGTCAGATATCATAAAGCAGTGCTGAGTGGATCTGTCTATTGGCTAAAAATCAGATGGCGTCTTGTCCATTGAGCAGTGCTTTGCGCCAACTTATGTCACGTTTCAAATGTTCTTGAGTCTGGTTTAAAAAAATGCAACAGTTGGATCAAACCAGCAAAAACTGTTCTTTCCGTGCCAAATTACCTCTTTTGAATTGTACCCAAAAGTACTGTAAAGTCACTTTACTATCTCGAGGTAAGATTTTTAATCAGAATAGACCCTTTACACGGTGCGCCATGACAGTAGTCAGGTTTTGTTATTTAAATGCAGTTACAATGAAAGCACAAAGTGCCTTATCAAGTATGTCACACAGGAACAAAGACGTGCCCACTGTCATGGACACTGCGCAAAGGGTTTATATGTTAATTAAATGATATGACACAACATTTAAACAAATATAATTGATTTTTCCCCCGAGTTAATTTTTTTTTCCGAAGGTTTTGGAAGGAAGATGTAATTGTGGCATTAGTCGGCATTGTCAAATGATGATTTTTAAAATCCATGAGTATGAGTGGATGGCTATCATGTACAGAACATGAAAAAAAAAGGCATTAAAGCTAATTTGTTTTGTGACAGCAGTGCCTTTTCTTAAAATTTACATGAACAATTCATCATGGTTGTATTTGCTGTAATCACTTATAATTATTATAAGTTACTGTGGGAATTCATGATATAGCATGCAGGCTTTGTTGTATCTATGCAGTGTAATTAGTCTTTTAGATGTCTATTTTGCCAGAGATATAGATACTTTCTTTTGTTATATTTCTATTGCTTGGAGTTAAGTTTAATTTGTGGTTTCTGTTTTGTGAGCATAATATTATGTTTTATTAGTTGCCGCTCAGAATTTACACAGAAATGTGTGGCATGTTTCCATTGTAGTCTGGTGCCTTCTGTGCTCGTCCAATTCACAGAGATTTTGACCATACGCTTTGGGAACTTGGTAACAAAGCCACCAGCATTACGACAGGTTCATGCCACACTTCAGACATGCTTTTTTATCAGCGCTAGAAAGTTGGCTCTAATTTAAGTAGATGTCACAGTTCAGTTAAATAATATCATTGAAATTGCTTTAAAAGTTTTGGCATAAATATTAGGATTTTGTGTATACTAATCTTAACAAAATGAGGACCAAAAGGATATATGCTATTTGGACGCTTCTGCATACTTCAGTAATTCTCCGTTTCTATTATTGGATTGGCGCTCACCTATGGGCGTTTGTCCGTGAAGCCAACGAGGCAACGAGCCCATAGAAGACTTCTGTGACTGGGCAGCGTTTATAAGCCGCTTGCATTTTGTACGCAGATAGTAATAGTAAGATAAATTCCACTACGCTAATTTTGAATCAATAACAGGTACAATGTAGATTCATTCCATATTGACACTTCAATTTAATCATGTCTATATATAGAAAGCAATCTTGATTCTAAAGTTTTGTATATCATAAATAAGTACTTCAGTAAATGAGACATTCCCACGTAATTTCCAGTATGGGTCAGTAATTAGTAGCAGTTCAACTTTGGCAGAGGAAGTTTAGAGGGGTGTTTTGTTTTATTTGTTTTTAAAACAAAATCCTACTTGAAAATGTCAAGAAGTTCAATTTTCCAATGAAATCGAAGTATCACCTGCAAAATTTAACTTCATCTTATATTGCCAAACTACATTAAGCTGTGTCTGTATAGGAATTTGACAAAGTGCCCATCATGTGCTTAACAAAAAACAAGTCGTCGTCTAAGTTACTCAGTAAAATGTGGACATTTCATGTTGTGGACATTTACTACTATATCCATTGTGCCTTTAATTTTGAAAATAATTCCAAGTAAATGGTTCAGGTTTTCTGTGCCTCTTTTGTTAGATCATATTGCTTAATCGGATGCAGTCGCAAATGAGAAAAAAAAGTCAAAATGTCTGCCGTTCTATACTCGCAATAAATTCTTCAGTTTGGTACATGAATCATGCATGGATGATTAAATAATAATGGTTTTATATTATTTTGTGAGAGAGCGTTTAAATTTTTTCCCAAAGGTCTACAAACCTCTGTTTAAAAAGCTTTTATTTGGGGATGCTTTGGTGCACTGGTTTCTGACCCCAGCCCCGGCATCATCGATGCTGCATATGACCTACCCTGCAAACACTGAATCTGATGCTGCTGCATATGGCCTACCCTGCAAACACTGAACATGAGAGCATACTTACGTAGGGGTCAACATTGACCGACGTTGGCTTCGCGACCGTCGGACCGTTGGTCGTTGGTTAGCCCCATAAATATGGCCAATATACTGGACTACCTCCGTAAATAAAGGCCACACTTTGTCAAGTTTTATGTTCACATTTAGACGTTTATTTATGCTTTAGAAGCACGCTCACCCTCTTTAAAGCGATAGAAAATCATTCGCCCCTTTTTCAGACGTCTATATATTTCGTGCAATTTCCAGCTTCATTTCGCACACGTTAGCGTATCTAAATACCCTAAATTCCAGCACGAAATTACACGAAAAGCAGATGTCTGAAAAAGGGGGGACTAATTTTCTATCACTATAAAGAGGGTAAGTATGCTTCTAAAGCGTAAATAAACTTCAAATAGAGTCTAAATGTGAAAATCCAAATTTGACAAAGTTCTACATTTTCGGGTACATGTTCCAAGTGGCCTTATATATTTACGGAGGTATTCCAGTAAATTTACCTTTTTTGTGGGGCTAGTCGTTGGTACAGGGTGAGTCAAAAAAAGCGGAACCCAAACCTCATAAAATATATTTCACAGTTATAACAGAATATTTATAATATGTAGCACTAAATATAATGACTGGAAAGCCAATTTCATAAGCTCCTTTTAGATAAAAAACTTACTGACATTGCTCAATCCATTCAAAGAATATCACCATTTCAACACCATGACCCTAAAACCTGTCTCGTCCGATGTAAAAAAAAAAAGCAATTTGTGTGTGTGTTTTGAATTGGAACAGCAAAGAAAATGACACAGCATACTTGTTGCAACAACTGTCACCAACTGTAGAACACAATATCTTTTAAAAAAAACCCTGGTTAGGCCAAAAAAAAAATATTCGGTCTCTGGTCAGACCAAAGTTCCGGACTCCGCCGCCAAGTTTCATGGCTAAAGTCTCAAAAAATCAGTTGTGTGTCTATGTGACCTTCGGGACACGCCACGCGTGTACTGATCAATGGGTCAATGCCCAATCATGCATTATGCATAACTCCTATGTGTAGCAAGTATGCGTGTGGCCAGTACTGAAGAGTCCATTGTGACAAATGGGTAAACCGCAACGCGTAACTCCAATAAACAACAGGTGTTTACACAGGCCTACACATTGGAAACATCATCTTTCTCTATGGCAAAATACAGGACATAGTGAAAAACACAACAATGAAAATAAAGCAACCTGAAAGAAGATCTCACATGAATTTTAGCCATACGAAAATCCCAAATAAGTTACGGACACTGCTGGGCTTGCAATCATGCACTTGAATTGACCACGCTGCGCGCGTGCCGAATGGTATTCCCTATATAGTAATGGTACGGACCACCTTCACTGCACTATAACTTCTTATTATTATTATTATTATTATTTATTCGGCCAAATTACAAGGTTCAACAAGCAATTCACAAAAGTAAACAAAACTAAACAAAAACAATCCAATCCAAGCTGGCCAGGATTGACAAAAGTATAATAAAACACTGTGACTCGAAAGCCTGTCAATCCTAACTTGAATGGTACATGTAACATACAAAATATATTAAAAATTAGGTATAAAATTCAATGAAAAATAAGACCGCCTTAAAAATAATACTTAAAAAGATAAATAGATTTAAAAGATTACAGTTACAACAGTTTTCTCAAGGCAAGAATAGCTGGCATAAAAACCTAACAACTGCAGATTATACAAGACTGGGGAAAAACAGACAAACAAGCCAAAACAAAACTAACAAACACCCCAACAAACTAAGAAACAAAACAAGACAGGATAAGACTAAACAAAATGTAACAAAACAAGTCGAGACAAGACAAAGAGACAAGACAAGACAAGACAAAACGAAACAAAACAAGACAAGACGAAACAAAACAAAAAACAAACAAACAAACAAGACAAGACAAGACAAGACAACCACACAACAACATAAAAACACAGAACGAAAGATTGATACAGTAAACAAAATAATTTACAATGAAATAAAAATAAATAATAATAATAAGCAATAAAAACCTGATAGAGAAAAGTAAAAAATACAGTTGACATGCGAGAAAAACTACGTCAAAAAAAATATCCATCCAATGAACAAGAAAAGCAACAACAAAAGTATCAATAACAAAATAAATACAAGTAATAATAAATGATAAGCAACCGGAAAAATAGGCCTGAAAACCAACATTATTTCAGACATAAATAAATGAATAAATAAACAAACTTAACCACAAAAGAGGAAAATAATATAAAATAAAATAACAATGAAATAAAAGAATGATGGCAGTTTACAGTGGAAAAATATACACATGAAATTACTTTAAAAAGATTAAAGTAGATCAAAAGAGTTAAACACTTGGGGGGGGGGCCTATTTCCAGCTCAAGGTTTTAACACTCATAATAATGGGCGGATAATCGGGTGTTAAACAGTGTGAATGAATCAATTAATAGAGAGTCCCTTACATGCGATGGCAAACTACTCCAGATTCGGGGGAAGACATGACTAGGTGTGTTTTTCAGGGTTTGAGTTCTAGCATAGTGGTGACTAAATGTGAGACAATCCTGGTGACGAGTGTTCACTACTGTGTTGGCCTTCACTGATTGGCAGTCAACTAAGTTAAACAGGACTTTAACTGTGAAGGAAACTATGTGCTTCTGTCTACGTATATCTAGAGTCATCCAATTCAAAGCATGCAATCTGTCTTCATATGACATTGCACCTTTGGGCTGTTTGAGGCACATTCTACTTGCCCTTCTCTGCACTCTCTCAAGTTTGGCTGCATTGGATGCTGTGTATGGGGACCAAGCTGGCAACCCGTATTCCAGTACGGGCAAAACAAGTGAACGATAGAGGGATGTCAAGGCCTTGGTCGAAGCACCACCCGCAATATGCCTGATAAAGCCTAATGTCTTATTGGCCTTTGAGACAGTGGCATCGACGTGATCGTTCCAGTTCAGTGAATCGTTGATGATTACCCCAAGATATTTGAATGTAGGTGTAACATTGAGCGATTGTCCGTGAAGAATGTAACTTGGAAGAACTGCTGGTTTCCGGGATCTGGATATGTGCATGACCTTGGTTTTCTTGATATTCAGCTGCATACCATTGAGATTACTCCATTGTTCAAGTGCAGTCAGGTCCAACTGGAGGGCGAGTTCATCTTGGGGTGAGTGGATTGGCTGATAGAGGAGTGTATCATCCGCAAAGAGTGCACAGTTTGTGGATAAGTCATGAGAAATGTCATTAATAAACAAATTAAACAGGAGGGGGCCAAGGACACTGCCCTGAGGAACACCTGAAGTAACTGGTGCCCACTCGGAGAAGCATCCCCGATACGCAACTCGTTGTTGACGACCTATTAGAAAGGACTTTATCCAGGTCCATGTCGATCCACGAATATTGAAGTTGCTGGCAAGTTTGTTAAGTACCATATGGTGAGGCATAACATCAAAAGCCTTACTGAAATCGAGGAAAATTACATCGAGTCGAGGAGGGTGCGGTTTATCCAAGATAGTTGCCCAATCATGGATTGTGTTTGCAAGCTGGGTGACACATGATTTGGAGGCAGTGAAACCATGTTGCTGGGGGTTGCCGAGGCAGAGTGATGTTACATGGTCGTTGATGTTGTCAGCGACAGCCCTCTCCAACAACTTGCAGATGATTGATGTCAACGCTACTGGACCGCCTTAAAAATAATACTTAAAAAGATAAATAGATTTAAAAGATTACAGTTACAACAGTTTTCTCAAGGCAAGAATAGCTGGCATAAAAACCTAACAACTGCAGATTATACGAATTCCTTCAATTTCCTTTGGAAAAACCGTATAAGTTCATGTAGGATGAACACTGCATGTGGCAAAAACATAGTAAATGCCAATTTCATTTCATATATTTCATAGTTTTTCCGTTCAGAGAGCATAAAATACAGCAAATCCAGTCACATCAACCGCGCGGCTAGCTAAAAGCTAGTCAGTGGACATGACGTCACGCGAATGTTATGCTAATCCCAGCGCTAGGTCACGACGAATACCATTGGATAGCAGAACGATGGGCTTCAAGTTTTCTTTCATTCCGACGACATTTCTCAGCCAATCAAAACGAGTTTTACATATGATATGGGGAGGTAACTAACGCAGAGAATGCCGGAAAACCCGCTGTCATTGCGTAATGCATTGCCGAGTTACTGCTTCGCAAAGTCGCCCCATCTGATGCGTGAGGGTAAAACTGCGTGTGATTACACTGAAAAAGGGCACTCTGGTCTCTCGTAAAAGCGTTTTTAGAAAGCTGGTCCGACGACATTGAATGCTCTATTCGAGTGAAATTTTGGAATTTCGTAGGAAAATATATAGAGATTGGAATGCCGGGCGACCCCGGTTTATATGTTTTTTCGTTTGGCGACTAAAACCATTTTTTCACCGGTGGACCCGATTCGGAGCGACTGCGGCTAACCCGTTTTGTGCGTAACACGGAAACACGTCCATATCGGTGTAGCAAAAGAGACTGCTTTTCCATATATTGACGCGGCGACGCGGCTTTTTTTTGTTTTTTTTGCTTTTTTTTTCTTTCTTCAAGCTTGGATTGTACAGACAAGGTGGGGTACTATTTTGCTTTTTTGGTGGCCTCATGTACATTGGTGTCCTCCATAATTTGCCTTGGTGCTCTCGATCATTTGCCTTGGTGCAATTTCCCATTCCTTGGTGCTCTTTGGTAGAAAAAAATTGAGGAGGTGCAGCAATAGAGGGCGCTGTTGGAGCTACCGCGGAACATTTTGGAAGAAAAAAAGATTGACGC